CAGTTTCTTTATGAATGTGGATCTGCAAGGGAGTAGTGACAGTGGCAGAGATAAGTTAAACTGACTTGCATTCTGTTTGGCCTTGGGCTATGGCAAGAGTAAAGAACTCCCTTGGGATAAGTCCTATGCTTGTTCAAATGTTCTGTTGGTAGTTTTTGTTTTTCTAGAAAAATAATAAAATTTATTTAAAAAAAGGAAGAGGGACACTGCGCAGCGGTTGTGAGGGGCTCCTTTCCCAGTAAGGCCCTTGGGAACAGCCTTCTTCACTGTCCAATGAAGACTAACGGTGGCTGCACTTGAGGCAGGAGAGGGGTGCTGCTTGCACAGCATGTGGGGTTTTATTCCTGGCAAGCCTCCCAGGAATGCTGAGCAGGGTCATCCATAACTCTGACTCAGGGCCACTACAAAGGAGACCCAGGGAGCCAAGCTTAGGAAATCTGACAGATTCCTACCCCTAACAGATTGCACACAGATCCCTACTCAGACATATCTGCACTAAAATACAAGAGGAATTTAGTAGTCCACTGAAAGCTTCTGGCTTAATTTAAAAGGAGCACAGAATGAAAACCCCATAGTTATTGGCATCTATTACTGATCACCCAGTCAAAAAGAGGACAATGATGCAACCTTCAAAAAGCAACTTGCCAGAGTTTGCAAGAAGAATGATGTAGTCATTATGGGGGACTTCCAGTACCTATCAGGGAAATTGGAGACAATTTGTGCCAAGCATGGCCCCTACAAGAGATTCCTGTCAGGTATTGCTGACAACTTCCTGCAGCAGAAGGTGGAGGAAAGAAAGAGGAATGGCTATTCTTGATTTAATACTAATGATCAGGGATGACCTAGTTGACAAAATAGTGACTAAGGGGGCCCCTGGGGGAAAATGACCATGCAAGACTTGAATTCTCAGTTATAAAGGATACATACTTTAGCTGTAGCCAAATATGTACTTTAGACTACAAGAAAGCCAACTGTAACAAACTCAGAACAAGGATAAATGAGGTGCCATGACAACTCACTCTTATGGGAAAAGGAGTCCAGGAGCAGTGAGAAATCTTGAAAAAAAGAGATTCTCCAAGCACAATTATGAACAATTCCAACAAGAAAAATGTGTAGAAGACAATAGAGGAAGCCCATGTGGCTTCATGAAAAGTAAAAAAAAAAAGAATATGTACAAGGGGTGGAAGCTGGGCATGAAGGAGGATAGCAAAGGATTACAGTGATGGCATCAGAGAGGCTAAACTGAGATAAGTGAAGGATGCTGAAAACAATAAGAAAGCCTTCTTTAGATATGCCCAAAACAAAAGACATATGAAAGAGAAAGGTGTCAGTATATTTAAAGTGGATAGCAAAGTAATAACAGACAGCAAGGAAAAGGCAGAGATGCTCAATTCCTACATTGCCTCAGTGTTTCCCCCATTAGATCTAGAAAGAAAAGGAAGTACAAAATGAAAGTGAAGGATAGCAGCCTTAGATTGACAAACAAATGGTCAAGAAATACCTAGATCAGGGTCGGCAACCTTTAACACTCAAAGAGCCATTTGGACTCATTTCCCACAGAAAAGAAAACCCTTTTGATATCTAAAATGAAGCTAACACTGCATATATAGTCTTTTACCTTTATGCTATGTATAAAAAAACTATAGTGTGTTGCATTTATGAAATTAATGAACTGCTACAGAAAAAACAATTTTTTATTTCTGCATGCAACAAAAACATTTTGAACTCCAAAAAAAAAGACGCTGGGTTGAAAGTTACTTTCAAATAAAATACTCAATGTCTGAGTCCTCCTCGTATTTATGAAATAAAAAGCCGAACTTATATTATCCACCTGCAGCAAACCAAAAATGCCATCTGCTTCTGTGTGCCCTCATCCTTTTATCACGTGGTGAAATATTGAACAAACATCCCTCTCCCAATGTAATAATGTTGCTGGAATTTTTATAAGAATCTTCTTAAAACAAAGAAGTAGATCTATATCTTTATTATGATTTAGCTGCAGCTCTTGTTCAGTCACTAAAAACTGTTATTTTTAATCTTACATTATAAACTAGTAGAATTCCTTTCACATATTTTGAATAGAACAGCTTCCTGCAGAGTCAAAGTCAGTGCTAAAGGGCTGTATGCATTAAACAGCAAACCCCATAAGTTTGTCAGCAGTAAAAGCAAATGAATCTACCCATGTACCATTACACATTTGGTTTTCTTCAGAAACTTTTCTTCGGATTTAGGGTTTATCCATGGTTGGAGGGGGGTGGGAAAGCTCAGTAAATCTGGCAGGTCACAGATATAGAGGTGTGTTTAGTGACTGATTAGCAGATAAACAGTCAAGTGATGTGAATTGTGACAGGTCCCAAGCACAGCTTTTAACATTCAGATGAAGCTTGTATAGCAGAGGAATGTAAACGATTTACTTAACTAGCTGATTTACTTAACTAGCTAGCGCTGAGTTCCTGAGTGGAGCTTCGAGCAGATCAGCGGCTGTGCTGGCGCGTGTTTTGAGCAACGGAGCTGCAGCAGAGGGGTTCAAGAGCCATGTGCGGCTCTGGAGCCTCGGGTTGCCGACCCCTGCCCTAGATGGAATAAATATGTTCAAATCTCTAGGCCTGGATGAACACCCCAGAGCCATAAAAGAGTTAGCAGAGAAACTCCCAGAACCATTGTCTCTTATCTTCAGTAAATCATGGAAAACAGGAGTGCAGGATGAGTGGAGAAGGGTAAAAGTTCTCCCCATCTTCCAAAAAAAAAAAAAGGAAAAAGATGAACTTGGGAGCTACAGGCCAGTTAGTCTGACATGAATCCCTGGAAAAATTCTGGAGCAAATCATTATTATTAATCATTCTGCAAGCATATGAAAGAAAATGCAGTGATTAATAAAAGCCAACCTGAATTTATCAAGAATAGACTAGTTTAATCTCATTTTTATACGCAATAACCTCCCAAATGGAGAGCAGAAACACTGTGAACATAATTTATTTAGCACAAAGCTTTTGACATAGTGCCCCTTGGTATCCTGATAAGCAAATTAGCAAAAAAGTGGACTAGATGGAAAAACTATTAGGTAGATCCAAAATTGGCTGCTGAATCACACACCAAGAGTGCTCATCAATGGCAATTTCTCAAACTGGAGGAAGGTAGCTAGTGGGGTACCACAAGGTTCAGTTCTGGGCCCAGTGCTCTTCAACATCTGTATTAATGATTTAGATGAGGAAGTACAAGGAAAGATCATCAGCTTTGCAGATGATACAAAACTGGGTGGAATAGCAAACACTAGAAGGCAGAATGAAGATCCAGGGAGATCTTGATAAATTTGAACACTGGGCTGAAAGCAACAGAATGAGATTCAGTAAGGACAAGTGCCAAGTCTTCCACCTAATATAAAGAAGCCAAATGCATAGATACAAGATGGGGAATATGTGGCTCAACAGAACTGAAGAAGAAAGAGACCTTGAAGTTATTGTGGAAGGAAAGGAGTCCCTGTGGATTTTACTCCACTAGCCAAAATGGTTAATACGATGCAGCCAGAAAAGGGGCAAATACCATTTTGTGATGTATTAATTTTTTATTTATTGAATACTTAATAAAGTATTATTTCCAAATCATGGGAAGTAATAGGTCCCCTATACTCTTCACTAGTCAGACCTCATTTAGAATACTGTGTCCAATTCTGGGCACCAAGATTTAAGAAAGAGGCAAAAGAAAAAAAACACCAACCCTAGAAAGGGTTCCAAGGAGGGCAGCTCTGGTTAGTACTGAGCAGAAGGTGGGAACAGTAAACTACTTTTGAATCTTCTAACCTTTCAATGCCTGCCACTGGGGAACATGGACAGTAGGATACTTATTGCAGTTAAGGCCTGTTGGGGGCCTTCTTGTGGATACCTGGTTGCCTGCTGCAAGTCAGAATGGTCCTTCTTTGGTCCATCATGAAAAATAGCAAATCTGTCTGTGCCAGTTTCCCATTTTCCAGCCTGAATTCAGTTCATCCTCCCTGCTTGGTACTGTGACTCCAAATAATCCTTTGGTCCTCAGATATCAGGGAGCCCTAGGATTGTGGCCTTATTTAACTTGCTTGATTTTGTTTTTTAATGTAATGTAGTAACATTTATTATATTAACATTGTTATTTGTACTTTGTCCTGTATTTTATTTAGTATTTATTTATTAGATTGATATCCCATCCTTTTCAAGAATTCAAGGCAGCTTACATCATTCTCCTCCCGCTCTCAATTTTATCCACACAACAACCCTGTGAGGTAGGTTAAATTGAGTCTGTGACTGGCCCAAAGTCATCCAGCTGGCTGCATGGCTGAGTCAATGCATACATTTCGTTGTATTTTATGAATTGGCTATTGGGTGGTATGGAAATAAAATCAATACCAGCAACCTTGAAACCCCTATGATGGAATGATACAGAATGAAACAAGAGATAGTGCTGGAAGATGAGTTCCCCCAGGTTGGAAGTTTCTTAACAAGCTACTAGGGAAGAGCAAAGGACAAGTGCAAATAGTGCTGTTGCTGAGGATACAACTAGAAATGCACAGGATTGGGCTGTAAGACTGCCATGCTATACATGAGTCTAAGCCTCACTGAACACACTGTTAATAAACCTCAGAGGTGGCTGTGTTAGTGTATTGCAGCAAAAACAATAGCCACAGGCCTTCTCACTGTTCTACTCTCCCGTGTATACTATACACGAACCTGAAACTTCCCATAATATTCCATATGTCTGATGATATAGACTATAGTCCCTCCAAATCTGTGCCAGAACAACAGTATTAGTTCTTAAAGTACCTCAATAATCTTTGTTTTGCTATGAATAGTCTCTTTGAGTTCATGTAAAGATAGTAATATTTGGTGGGTCATATTGGGAGCAATGTTTACAAATGTTAAATTCAATCTTCAGGCTTTCTTCCCATGTTCTGTGTAAGAGAAATGTCCAGGTGAGTTACTGGATTCCAATATATACTGAAGGAATGCATACAGTAAGGGAATACACAAATAACATGCTAAGGAGATTTATTAAAAACATTGGAGAAGACAATTTCTGCTCTTCTGGTACATTTACATTCACCAGAAGTTTCCAAGCTGTATTCCCACAATCCTGTGAGGGAGGTTTGGCTGTAAGGAAATGAATAGCCTAAAGTTATCCAGTGTAAAATGGCAGGCATCTTCTGGTCCTCTTCAGGTAGCAAAATGGTAGCTGTGGGTGGAGGTGTTTGCATCCATCTGTTCTGTCTGGCTGTTGCGTCTGAATGTGGTAGTTTGATGACCGGTGTCCTTTTTGGAATGTGTGACCTGGTTCCCAGGTAAAAACCCATTAAACAACCCATGGGCTGTCAGGGACAAGCAGGAGAGAGTGGGTGGCTGTAGAGAAAAACCACCAGAAAGACTATTGTATATCATGGAGATAGGGTGGTATAACACAATTGCTCATTCTATTCCTATCTCTCTCCTGGGAAGACCTTAACAACAGGGCCTCCTTAAAACCCAGCTGAGGCTCTCCAGCATGAAAAATGTGTTATTCTAAACTGTTTGCTGATTAGGATGGTACTCACTTGGAATGCAGAGGAATGCCATAAAAAATGGAACTTATCATCATGAGACTTGCAAACAGCAGGTGTGACCAATTAACTGTTTTGAATAGCAGGTAGTATTCTGTAGCACATAGCACTCTAAAATTTAGGTTAAAAAGCCTCGCGGCTTCGCCCAAGGTGAGCTTTGATGCAGGCCTGACCCGGGGAAAGGTGCTGCATGCTGGCCGAATTGGAGTAGTCCTCATTGCCGTCCGGGGGGCGGGGGTCCCAGCAACTGATTGAGGAAAGTCAGCTTGCTTGGTATTGTGTATTTTTCATATCATTGTGCCTGCTTTAGAGTAAAACCTAATTTAGACTGCAACCCACTGGTGTGCTTATTGCTTCTGGATCCAAAAAGAACCCTCGCCTTTGGCAAAACAGTGGCAGCCCCTTCATGAGCCCAAGTGGGGTGCAGGTAAGCGGGGCTGCAGCAAATATCCTGGGCAGACTGACTGCTTGCTTGCCCCAACTGCTCTGGATGGTAAGAGCAAAGCTATGGCAGCTTTATCATTATCAGCAATTCGTTAATACTAGGAAAGCCACTTTTCGAAGCCAAAGCATTATCAGTATGAGCATGGGATGCTGACCAGCCCGAGTTTGAATGAATGGCGCTTTTTCTTTCCCTCCAGTCCACATCACCATTGCTTGGCATAATCCACCTCTTAGGGTTGTTTTTTTTGGGGGGGGGGATAATTCCAGGCACACACCCCTATTGCCTGACTTGGTATCAGCAGTGATAGACAGGATTATCTATTATCTAACAGACATGGTTAACCTGCAATTGAAATGTTTTCCCCTTTTTCATGGACCATGGCTTGAAATCAAATTGTTCATATTTTTTCTCCAGATTACTTAAAATTGCTGGGATGGCACCAGTTTACCTTTAGTTTTGACTGGAAGATGTCATGAACCTCAGCCTTGGGGTGGAAGAGTAATGTCTGCAACAGCTTTGGAAGAACTACAGAGGCCCAGCATGCTTGGGTGATGTCCCTGCACACTCTCTGTCTAGGCTCTTGAAGCTGTTTCTTGCTTTTGTTTAAATTTCTTCATAAACAGGGCAGAAACCCCGGGAACCTAAAACCATGGAAGTGGGAGAAAGCAAAACTGAAAGTTTCCTTCAACCCTGTGCATGTTTATAATTAATATCAATATTGCTGAAGTGCCAACTGCCACAAGAACAGGCTCCCAGGCCATGGGATCTGTTGAGTAATCTGGAAGTCAGGAGGCGTGACCTAGTAACCTGGGCTAGCCAGTGTGAATGGGATAAGAATGAAGCTGAAGATGGAATTCTTGCAGAGAAAAGGTTGGGCATTACCTGGAGAGATTTCCCATTAAAGAGATCAGGATAAGGCTCCTGTAGTGAATAACAGAATTTTTCAGGAGAGTATGGTCTTAGACTTGTTCTAAGAAAGCCAAGATGACAGAAAAGGGACAGTGTAAACTTCCAAGAGCAGAGAATCATGATCAAAAGTCCTTGTTGATCTGAGACAAAAAAGTTGTATGTTGATACTTTTTTCCATAAAAGAAAATCTGCACGTCTTGTGATGTTCAAGGGTTAATAGAAGCCATACAACCTATTTTCCTTCTGATGTCACAATTTGCTTCTTCCAGTTGCACCAAGATGAAGCTTAAAGAATTTCTGAATCTCGGTCCAGGAGTGCTCCTGGGCTTTGGCATGGGCCTTTGCTTCACCTCCCCATGCTAGATTTTGGCCCCTGATTATCGAGACGCAACAAAGTGGGGTTCCCGGGGGTTGTATTAGGTGACCAGCCCCTGGGTACGAGAGCAAGGCACAGTTATTTTTCCCATGCTGCTTTGCTCTGGCTATGGCTCTCTCGGCAAGCGACTTGCTGTTTACGCTGTGGTCATCTTCTCCCACCACAAAGAGCACGTGACCCTGGGCCTTCTCCAGAGGGATGGCATGGGTTTGGTATTTATCCTCAAGTTCTTGAAAGAGAAGGAGAGTAGACATCGCACCTGTGTCACTGATGCAAAATTTCTCCACTGCGTAGGGAACAGCAGGGATGTGGACGTCACGAAAGCGGACTGGTGCACCTATCACTGCTGTGGCACCGTTGATGCACACAGCAGCCACAATTTGCTCTAAGAAGGTATACATGGCCAATGCAATTTCTGACCCTTTGGATAACCCGATGACTCCAAGTCCTGGTCCTCTTACCTGGAGAAAATACACACACACACAAAGGTTAAAATAGTTCCATAATCAAAGGCTTGAGAGACTATAATGCAAATGCAGTTTAGTATGGAAGAGTCTTAATGTGTGCAATTCCTTTTTTTAATCATTCAAAAAACAGGAGCTTCTGAAATTTCGGTATTTCTCCGACAGCTTTGGTAGATTTCCTTTTTGAATATGCTCATTAACTTTCTCAATTGGGATTTCTTTATTTTGGTACAGCTTTACAAAAAAGTCTTCCACTATTTTCTTGATTGACATACTTTGTACCTGCAGTTGTCCTTCTCCATCCTTCAATTTATATATTAGTCTCTTTTCTCTTTCCTTCTTTAGTTAGTAAGCTAACCATCTCCCTGGTTTATTAGCATTTTCAAAAAAGTTCTGTTTTTTGAAATACAAAATTTCACTTAGAGCACAGAATGAGTTGGTAGATTAAAAGGATGGAATTTTCAATGTAACCACTTGGATAGCATATCAGCTTTATTACCTTGCTGGATCTTGTAATGATACAGAAGAAGCACCCCCTCCCAGCCATACCTTAGGGTGTTGTAAGAGCAGTTTGCACGCCTCCTCATAATATTCCAGGTCCACTTCTGTCAGGTTCTTAGGCAGGTCCTCATATGCAAAGAGAGCCAGCGCCAGAACAGCAAAGCCCCTGCTAGCAAGTAGGCTTGCTCGGAACTCAAAGAGGCCTCCAGCCCCACCAAACATGTCAATCACTCCTGGAAATGGCCCAGGCCCTGCAGGGAAAATCGGAAAAATTAAGGGAGCAAGAGAAATAATCCTCACCCCCGGCCAAAAGAAAAACAGAAAAAACATGAAAGTCAGGGTAACATCCTGGGGGCCCTCAACACCAGGCCCAAGATCACTTCCAACAGCTCAGGCAAGGAGCTTGCTGGGCAGCTGGGTGGGTGGTAAAACAGCAAAATCCCTAGGCTGTCTCATGACCCTAAGGGAAGGTATAAACACTCAGGACCCACTCTCCAGTGAACAGGAAGCCTTGAGAGGAGAAGCAAATTCTCCTCAACCACTTGCTCCCCTGGACCTCCAGGCAAAGTTGGTGCTGGACAGAATATTCAGGGAGGCACAGTTGAGAGAGAGCTGCTCCTCCCTCTTCCCCAACCCAGGTTTCTGTGATGCAAGCTAGGTCTCCCTCTCCAGCAAGATCTTATTTTGGACTGACCTGGCATTCAAAAGCAGCATTCTAGACTTACCTTTTCCTTCCCCACTATCCCACTGAGTGGCTGTTTCTGAACCTTCCTGGCCTCCAGAGCTGGCCAACCAAAGAAGCAGGCTGAAGTGCTTACTTGAGGTGGTAGAGCTGGAAAAGGGCAAATTGTGCTGTCCACCTGATACAGGAACCCTGCTCTCAAGAATAATACTCATGTTGCTTTATCCTTCTACAGTCTCCTTTCTTCTTCAAGAGTCAGTGTGGTGTGGTAGTTAGATTGCTGGATTAGGGACACGGGAGATTTTTGTAATCTGCCTAGAAAGTCCTTGGAACTAATTTAACTGCAGAATAAAACTTGAATAAATAAATATTTCCTCACTTGACCCTGAAGCTCACAGGGTGACTTTGGGCCAGTCAGACTCTCAGCTCAGCTCATCTTACAGAGTTTTCTGAATTGGGCTTCTAAATCTTGCCAAAAATCTTGCCAAAAAGATGATCTTGACCTTTACAAATTCTAACCAGACCTATATGTACCTAGAGGTAAAAGGTAATCTTCTTCACCCTGGTACTTGATAGATGGTTTAGATTACAACATCCATCATCCCTGCCTATTGGCCATGCTGGCTTGGACTGATGGGAATTATACTCCCAAACACTGGAAGATCCCAGGTTGGAGGAGGCTGGTCTAAGGTTTTGTATTTGTCCTGTGCACAAAAACCAAAGCCAAACCAAAGCCAAAATAGAATGGAATGTGATTCCATGTGGATGAAGTCACACCTGATTGGGTTTTGTCTGCCTGTCTGGTCAGCACAGTACATGGTCATGAATGCTGGGAGCTGACAGCACCAAGTAGCTGCAGGGCCCCAGGCTGAGGAATGCTGGGTCCGGTGGGTGCTTTAAAGCACTCACAATTTCGAAACAACCCTGCTGCGATTGTGGCATCTGGGCATGTGACGGATTCAATAGGATCTCTTCAATAGGATTTCTTGTGGCATCTGGGTATGTGATGGATTCAATAGGATCAATGGGATCTCTTCAATAGAGAAGACAGGTGCAGTAAAGACCACAAGGGAAGGCTGAGGTGAGAGGCAGGCTTGGTTTTATCCTGGTGAGAGCAAGATGGATTCTTGCCACCCGAAGTGAAAGCACTTGTGCCTCAGTGCTGCGGCCCTCCCTACTGCATAATTCTCCTTGCTGCCAGGCCCAGTCCAGAGCACCGCACACGGCAGCAAAGCTAAGCTGATGGGGTCCCTGGGCTAGTGCTGGCAGGGAGGGTGGCTTGTGCTGCACTGCCAGCAGCAGGGGAAGGTTGAGACCTGCGTGTTTCTGGGCACTCACAAGAGCTCAGCACACGACCGAGCTATCACCAGGGGACAGCCGTGTGCCAAGATCTCATGAGAGGCCCCCACGCAGACACTGGGAGCTTCAGCACTGTAGACAAATGACAAACTGCTATAGTCTGGTACAGCTCAGCAGTGCTTCCCTGGGGCATCTGCTAATCTGGCACTAGGGTGGGCACCTGAATAGGGTTACTGCTTCTCTTCTTTTCCCAAGATCTATCCACAAACTTAGGCCCTTTGCAAGGATGGGCCAACTGGTTTCATCCAGCTGGGTCTTTTGAGATGTTTGTTTCAGACAAGTAGCAAAGTTGGTCCTGCCACTAAATAATTTTCTACCAGCCAGAGTGCTGATGCCAGACATGGAGGCTACGGTACTACTGCACAAAGTAGCAAACAGTCTGGCCTAAAGGGCTGGCTTTTCCTGGACTCAGATTTCCATCACAGTGGGAGTTCCCTCATGCCTTCTAGAGCAGGACTGGGCAACTGAAGTTGATCCATGAGCCATATTCACTCCTGAACTGTCCCTCCCTGGCACATTCTGCAAACTTGAAAAACAAGTGATGCTTTGCTGCCAACATTCAGAGGCAAACTCACCTCATTTACAAGTTAGTTTTACTTTTAATTTGCAAAGAAGCTAAATTATTCCTTTTTAGCATTTCATATTGGCAGATTTGCCCATCGTTTTCTTTTTTAATTCTCCCATGGATTTTGGCCTGACGGCCATCTGTTGGGCAAACAATAGTGTATAATTTTGTATATACTGTTTAATGAGATTCCAAGATGCCTTCTCTCAAATTATCCACTCCACAAAGAACTAAACATATACTATGGAACCCAAGATTTTGCTCAAGAAGGTAACATAACTAGCCAAGTTCAGCTGTCATTTTGATTCTATTTAGAATTGTGTGTGTGCATTTGATGTTGCCATACTTGGCTTCCCCCTCTTCACATCTCTTTATTTGGATCCCTGGCTGCACTTAAAAAAATTCTTCCTCATGTGATAGTATTTTTCTGATGGTGCTATCTGCATTTTGTGGACTTTCACAGGTCAAATCAAGTTCTGACCTTTGAACAATCCAAAGCACTATTTGTTTTTCTAAGTGTTAGGATGAAGGGGCATAGGGCTGGGTTATAGGGCCCAGAAACTCCCCAGGCAGCTGAACTGACTAAGGTAGTTAGAAGCCTATCAGTAGCTCTTTCCTCGAAAAAGGTCCCTTGTAAAGAAGGGATCCAGCAAGAACAAATGTGATCCCTTGAGGGGCAGGGGCAAGAAAACAGGCATTCAATTTTCATACCTGCAGGCAAGAAAAGGGTCCCCCGGACACGCCCCGTCTTGATGGGGAAACGTTGCATTCCAGGGGTTGTGTACCACCTCTCCACAGTACAAGAGGCCACTGGTGCCATTGCAGGTGGTGGGTTCAACTCAAAGGAGCTGAACAGGTTGATCTGGACACGGAAGGGGCTGTTCATCACGTCGCGTTTCAGCAGCCTGTGGAACATCTTCTCTGGCTTCAGGGTGCAGAAGAGGCCCATGGGCCACACTCCTGTGTAGCTGCCTCCCAGGGCAGATGCCTGCTCCAGATCCACGACCCCGGCCTCGTTTGCCCGGTAGAAGGCGACTGCCTCAAACTTCACCCCACTTTCATCAGTCAGCAATGCCTTCAGGGTGACAGGCTGGGAGGGGGCCAGGCCCGAGGCGGAAATCGACACAGGTGTGTCGGCTAGTGCACTTCTCGGCGTGGCAGTGAGCTGAGCCATGGCAGCCAACACTTGGGTAGACCTGGGGAAAGACAATACAGTGCGTGTTGTTTATCAGAGAAACCTCTTTGGAGTTCATGAGAGCTAGCCGGGCTGGGGCACAGCCACTCCGGTCCCTGCATCTGGGACTCAAGTGTCCTTGCCAGCCCTCACTCAGTGAACAAGAAAGAGCTGTGGAACCATCAGGGAGGTCCAGTGCTGATATGGAATGACAGCGACAAGGAACACACAGACACACACAATGCACACTGAGTGTCTTCCTATGACAGAGTAGCTGATGTGATGTTAAATATTACTGAAATTGTACTAATATAATGAACTAAAGAATCAGATCTTGGCAATGTACTCTAAGTGGGCCTGCGCTTGAAGATAGTTGGAAGATGCAGGTTGTATAAAGCAGTGATTTTCAACTTTTTACCATTGGGGACCTGCAAAAATAGGAAGTACTTTGGGCACCACTGAGGCAGAAATAAAAAAGCATTATATATATAATATAGTAATCTGTGTATTAGTATTTAAATATAGTACCAAAAAGAAAAGAAATGAAAAGGAAAGAAAATTCTCTAAAATAACCAGAAAGTGAGCTGTAAAAAATGCTAGTAAAAGAATAAAAAATAGAAAATTAAATGTAATCGAATACAATTGAAATTTTTAGAGAACAATATGTAATTCAAATAAGGCTACTGCAAAATCTGCTGTTCCTTCTTTTCAAGAATACTTGATCAAAAATTTACAATAGCAAAATACAAAATCAATATAAATGCAATACTATACTTAAAGCAAATACGAATTCAAATACAATATACAGTAGCAGAGCAATACAGAATCAAAGTTACTTAATACATAATATTCATAATGTAAAATACTGAAATACAATGATCTGTCTCCCACTCAAACCCCCATACATACCAGTACAGACTGGCTGAGAAAACACTCTTAGGTCAGTGTTTCCCTTCCCAGCAGAAAACACAGGAGAGAAAGGACAAGGCCTGGTTTCGGTTGCTGGTGTGGCGCAGCTGTCGGCTGGCTCCCATGGGGCTGCCTCTCCCCTCCCCGGGGAGGAATCTGTAGCGAGAGCGCTTTGAGCCTGGCACTGGTCCTAGTGAGCGAGATGCCACTCTTTCATGGATCGCCAGAAAATGCCAGCGGACCGGTGCCGGTCCGCGGACCAGCAGTTGAAAACTACTGCTATAAAGTATGGATTAGAAAGTCTGAACATGGAACACCATTTCTGCTTCACTGGCACTGGCTGCTTGTAAAATGTCCAAACCTAGTTCAGCAGGCTGCTTTTGTCCTATAAAGCCTTGCATTTATTTATTTAGATACATATCCCGTCTTATTCCTTGCAAGGAATTCAAAGTGGATTGCATCATTCTCCTCCTCCAGCTCTCCATCTTGTCCTCACAGCAGCAGCAACCCTGTGAGGTAGGTTGGGCTGAGAGCCTGTGATTGGCCCAGAGTCACCCAGTGAGCGCCCAGCTGAGCAGGGAATAGAACCCAGACTGGCCGAGTCCCAGACCCAAGCACTGCACCACCCTGCTTCACTCTCTTACATGACTTGCAGCAAACTACTTGACAGAGTGCCTGCCTCAGGATGAATAATGGTCCCCTGAGACCATCCTGTAGGTCAGGGGGGTCCAACCTTTTGGCTTCTCTGGGCCGCATGGGAAGAAAAAAAATTGTCTTGGGCTGCACATTAAATTACACAAACACTAACAAGAGCTGATAAGCAAAAAAAAGTGCATAATTTCATGATACCTGCCACCACAGATAAGCAAAAAAGTGTTCACATAATCCTAATTATGTGATGCCCTGTTCAGAGAGTCTTTTAAAATTGTCGAGCAAGTCTAACGTTTGTGATCACTAATAGAAAATGAACATATCTAAGTAATAAAACTTCATTGATTTTTTTGATTTTTATTATAAAAGTAAAAGAAAAGAGGGCAACATAAAACTAGTGGGATATTTGACATTGTATTTGAGAAACTAATGGATCAATTTTTGGTTCGATGGAAGTAGTTGAAATTCTCAGTGAGTTCTCAAGGTGCTCATCAGATATTCTGATTCTGATTTTACTCTTAGTGTGCTTCATTCTTGAAAATAGTTGCTCACAGATGTAGGTGCTTCCAAAAAGTGAAGACATGAATAAGGCATGATTGTGAAGCAAGGGATATTTGTCTCTGGGACAATAAGACCTATGAAAGTCCATGATCAATTTTTTCTTTAAGTGGAATGTCAGAATGCAGCTCTATACATTTCTTTTGAAAATTCGTGGCTAACATATTTATGTTGACTGAAAATGGAGTCACAAATATACCAAAATAGTGTTTATTTTCCCAGAAATCTGTTTTCAAATTCTTGCATCAAATTGAAAAGCCAGGCTGCATTATTTTTGCTGTCTGCCGGACTGTGTTTTGTCAACATGTCAAAATGTATAAAATTGTTTGCAACGGTAGGCTGAAAGATTATGGATAACAGCTGTGTTTCACTCTCCAAGTCACCATAAGCACATGTGACATCTGATGGTGTCAATTTTATTGTCAGTGCTTGGAAGATAACACACTGGAAGCCACAGACTGCCATAAAACTGAAGCCACACATGTGTACAAATGTGAGAGCATAGGTACATTTATTTTACATGACACTGCAACACGACATTGTCGTCTACAAAGTACACACTGGAGAACTGCATGATCGCGTTATAAAAAAAATACCAAAAAAATCTCATAATGTTTTGAGTAAGTTTACAATTTTGTGTTGGGCCACATTCATAGCCCTTCTGGGCCACATGTGGCCTCCAGGCCGCGGGTTGGAGGCCCCTGCTGTAGGTGTTTCCTTGCAGGGAGTTCCCGCAGTGCTGACAGCCAAGGATTCTCAGGATTGTAGTATGAAATGGTAGGCATGCCATGAGCAGAACTGGCTGGAGCCAGGGATCAGAATAGATGGCCCAGGAGGTCCCTTCTGACTCACTCTGTTTTTACAAAACATCCGGGGGGGGGGGGGGGGGTTGAGGAAGGCTGCTCTGCTTTCTTCTGCAGAGCTCTGCTATTTTCCTGTGCACAAGCACAGCGGTGCCAATTTCTTGGTGATCTGTAGTGCCTAGAAAAATGTTAATTATTTACATACTGTGCATTGTATTGTTAGGACATTTCTGGGATGTTGTGCTCTGGGTGCCAAGGTGGCTTTATCAGCTTCTAGTCCCCTCTCTTTGCATGCACGTCCGCGTGTGAGTGGCTTCACTCTTCCTCAAGTACACAAGATCTCACCCATTGAAGAATGCAGTGAATAAGGACTTTTGTTGCAAGAAACCAGATTTAGACTAGATACCAGGAAGAATGTCCTCACTGACAGCAATACAATGGAGCCTATTACCTGGGGAAGTTGTGGGCTCTCCCTCGCTGGAGACATTCGAAAAGCGACAGTTATCTGAATGGGATGATATAAAATGGTGTCCTGAAACAGCAGGGGGTTGGCCCCGATGGCCTTCTGACCCCTTCCAACTCTACTGTTCTAGTATCTTAGGATTTTAGGCTGGCCCAAGCACTGCTACCACATTTCCCTGCGCTGAAGCACTTCGTAAAAGTTTGGCACCTCTCCACACTGGCTTTTAAAGCACCTTGCAAGAATGCCTCTCTCCAAACGTGGCTGGGCTGCGGCAGCGGCGTCCTTCCCAAAGTGTACCGATCCTCCTTGTCGTCCGAACAACGGGCTGCTGGGATCCCGCCGGCCCTCCCCGTGAAGGGGACTTGTCGTGGCAGCCTCCTGCTTACCTGCTTTCTGCGGCGGTTCCCAACTCGCAGGCAGTGCGATGCTTTCTCGACTTGTGGCTTCTTGGGGAGAAGGGCTGATCGGCCGGCAGTCCCAACCAGGGCAGCACACTTGCTGCAGACGGACTTCCTTAATGTCTTCCTCAGCCTGGGAATGCCTCCAGGATCAGCTCAAATGCGAGGAGGAGGAGTCGCTGCGGCCGCATTGCATGATTGAATCAGCGCTCTTTGCAGGCTTTTCTGCAAAGTTTCGCTTTCCGGTCAGCGCGCTCCGGAGCTCCAGAGCAGCAGCGAAGTGGGGCCTGGCACAGACTCGGGACTGATGAAAGGACATCTCCATCTCATAATTCTCAAGGAGCAATGATTGAAGGTGTGAAAAGAGTTGTGGCTTCTCCCACCGTGATGAGGACAATTTGCGATCGTGCACTTGTTGAACTGCTGCCGCCAACTTCCTCACCTTTGGCTATGTTGCCTGGGGGGTAATGTGCATTGCAATCCAACAGCATATGGAGAGCCACCCGTTGCCCGCCCCCGTATAAAATATCTGGGATCCTAAACGCAGAAAATCCATGTCACATGTAGCTAACCGGCCCCAACCGGTTCTCCCCTTGTCCAGATACGTGGGTGGAGAAGGAGCTGATGGAAGATGGCGTCGGGAGGAACCAGACTAGCTTTGCAGGGTTTTGCTTCAGCTGCTTGATGAAGCAAACAAACTATTGCTGATTTTTAAATCTAATGTTATATCCCTCTGCTCCTGGAACGGAACCAGAGAAGAATTGCTGGATTCTTGGAAAAGTTTTGTCATATACAGCTATACTCCATTATCCTCCTCAGCCAAGAGAAAATCAGTTCAGTTTTCTTACTTAACTTTCCATGAGAAATCTGCCCCTATTTACAGTTTAATTGATCAGCTGATTCCAAGGGCTCTCAGATCTGTTTTCTGGAGACCTGGCGGTTTGGTAAGTCTGACAAGCATTGTGGGGGAAGTCTGAGAAACAGACTGTTGTCAATAGAGAGGCTGTGAAGTTCTGAAACATCGGCTTAAAGCAGTAAAAGTGGGAGTACATGTCGTTGCAACTAGGGAAGCAGTAATCTGTTCCCACACTGGTTATAACTCACTAAAGGATTATGTTAACTAGAAAGGTTTACAGAACCCTGGGATTACACCTGTTTTTGAGAGTATACCTTTAACTGGCCAGGAAAAGCAGACAAAAATTACATGGTGACTTTACACCAAGGGTGGAAACAAGGAGGATGAAGCTGACTCTTCATATAGCATATAATTTCATACTAGTCTGGACCTTGCCCCTAAAGGGAGTGCCCAAGGCCAGAAAAATTCACTGGTGGATACACCTTTTGTTAGGCTGGAAGCAGAGTTACAGAATCATTGGAGTTGCAAGGGGACAGAAGGGGATTGGGTCCAACCTCTTGCTATTGCAAGGTGTTTAAGTTACACCAGCCCACTCAGTTCACTACACTACCTGCTGAACCCTAACGTCCTCCTTGCCATTCTTCCAATAGAGCAGGGGTCTCAAACTCAACTTACCTGGGGGCCGCTGGAAGTAGAGTCTGGGTGAGGCTGGGCCGCATCAAGTATTCCACCACCGCGGTGAGGGTGGGCTGCTCATCCCACGTCACTCCCGGAGGCCGGCCCGGGCGCCACCGCGCTTTGAAGGCCGCAGGGCCCCTCCCCCATGCCCCACCCGGCCCGGCGCGCAGCTTAGAGGGAACAGGTGCGTGTGAGAAAAATGCGCGGGCCGCACTATCACTAAACTTTGATAATCAAGTGGGGGCCACAAAATATCATCCCATGGGCCGCAGTTGGCCCGTGGGCCACGAGTTTGAGACCCCTGCAATAGAGCCTGTGGAATAGAGATACCTGATATGCAAAGCTGTAACCAGCACTAGTGCCATTTTTACAGCTGTCTACAACCATGACAGATGGCATTTATCCTACTTTTTAATACTATTTTTGTCTCGTAACTGCAGATCATAGAATCATAGATGAGGATAGAGTAGAGTTGGGCAGGGGCCAGAAGGCTATCAGGTCCAACCCCTTGCTGAATGCAGGGCACTAAGTTACACCATCCTATTCAGGTGACTGTTGAGACACTTTCTGAATGTCTGTAGAGAGCCCACAACTTCCTCAGGTTATAGGTTCCATTGTTGTACTGCTCTGACAGTGATGAAATTCTTCCTGGTGTCTAAAGCTGGTTTCCTTTAACTTAAGTCCATTATTCCGGGTTCTGCACTCTAGAATGGACAGAAGAGATCTTGTCCTTCATTTTTGTGACAGCCTACTTGTAGAGTGCTATCACATCACCTATCAGTCTTCTCTTCTTGAGGCTGAACATGCTTAGTTCTCTTAATCTTTCCTCACAGGGCTTTGCCTCCAGTCTCTGAATCATCCTTGTCGCTCTCCTCTGTACCCTTTCTAGCTTTCAGTATCTTTTAAAAACTTAGTTGCCCAGAACTGAACACAGTCCTCCAGGTGAGGTCTGACTAGTGCTGAGTATAGGAACTAGTACTTCAGGTGTTTTGGAAGTGATACTTCTGTTAATGCAGCCCAAAATAGCATTTGCCCTTTTTTGCAGCTGCATCACATTGTTGGCTCATATTTAGCCTGTAATCTACAACAACCCCAAGATCTTTCTCATTTGTAGTATTGTTGAGCCAAGTATTTCCCATTTTGTAGCAATGCATCTGGTTTCTTGTTCTTAAGTGGAGTTGCATCATGCTGAAGTGTCTGAACCTCTTGATCTCACACAATTAGCAACTTACTTTGCTCAGGCAATTACACCTCTGGAGCCTGTACGATCTGAGCCACACCATGATGGGACAAATATAGCTTCAGGATTTCCACAATCCTCAAAAAAGATGTCTTAGTAAAGGAATGGATACTAAAACAACTCTCTGAGTTTGTTTGTACTACATAGATGAAATAGTAAATGAGGACAGATCTTCCTGTCACAGTGAAATAACTAAATGAGACATTAAAGGGTGGCTGTCTCTGATAGCAAAAGACATTGGATATATTAAATTCTATTTGTCCATATATAATGAACTATTGAATATTCTTGTGGAACCATAGAAAAAAACTGACTGAGGTACTGTTGGGATCCATGATTCTTCCTCCAGGTGATATCTGTCTTATAAGCATTTCATTCCCTAAATATCTTTATTGTTACCTATGAATTTCTGAGCATACACAAAGTGCAGTGTTGAACCCTACATACCATTCATTTCCTGAAGCTCTCTTTATGAGCCCCTCTGTGTCTCAGCGCTGGAGGAGGAGCACTGTGAAAACAGACACACCTCCACTACTCCTGTTGTGGTCCGAACTGGGCTCCCCTCCAATATGTTGACAATGAGACACTGAGTCTGCTTCTCAGGGGCCAGGAGTTCTCCATCAGAGAGACTTCCCATGTCAACGCCCTACCACCTGTTTACTTGACCCTTGCCCTTCATGGCTACTTAATAGTGCCATTCACAGGCTTGGTACCTGGGTGCAGGAGGTCATCAATGCCTCAGGGAGGGCCAGGGCCCTGCCCCTCTAAAGGAGGCAGTGATCAGACCTGTCCTGAAGAAGATGTCTCTGTACCCAGAGGTGGCCGCCAATTATAGACCGGTGGCCAACATCCCATTTTTGGGCAAGGTGTTGGAGCAGATGGTGGCAGGAGAACTCCAAGCGCTCTTGGATGAAACTGATTATCTGGACCCATTTCAGTCTGGGTTCAGACCCAGTTATGGTACTGAATCTGTCTTGATCACCCTGTAAGATGATCTGTGCAGGGAGAGGGACAGGGGAAGTGTGTCCCTGTTGGTTCTCCTGGACCTCTCAGCGGCTTTCAATACCATCGACCATGGTATTCTTCTGGATAGGCTGGCTGGATTAGGAGTAGGAGGCTTTGCATGGCAGTAGTTCCACTCCTATCTGGCTGGCCGATTCCAGAAGGTGATGCTGGGGGACTATGGCTCTGTGCCATGGCAACTTTGGCAAGGGGTTCCGCAGGGCTCTATTTTGTCCCCCATGCTTTTTAACATCTACATGAAACTGCTGGGAGAGGTCTTCAGGAGGTTTGGGCTGCGGAGCCATCAGTACGCTGATGACATCCATCTCTACCTCTCGTTTATATCTAATCCAGGTGAGGCAGTGGCTGACCTGAACTGGTGCCTGGCCGAGGTAATGGGCTGGATGAGGGCCAATAAACTGAAGCTCAGTCCAGACAAGACGGAGGTCTTGTTGGTGGGTGGTTCGGGTTTTCAGGTAAGCAATTATGGTCCTGTCCTGGATGGGGTTGCACTCCCTCTAAAGGACAGGGTCCACAGCTTAGGAGTGCTGCTCGACCTAGAGCTATCCCTGGAGGCCCAGGTGTTGGAGGTGGCAAGGAGTGCTTTCATTCAGCTTTGGCTGAACCATCAGCTGCCTGCACCTGGACAAGCACTGCCTAGCAACAGTGACACATACTCTGGTAACTTCCTGGTAGGATTATTGCAACGTGCTCTACATGGGGCTGCTCTTGAAAATGGTCCGGATACTTCAATTGGTACAAAGTAGAGCTGCCAGGTTGCTGATGAGGGACAGTCGTTATTCTCATATAACACTGGTCCTCTACCAGCTATATTGGCTTCTGATTGAAGTCCAGGCCCAATTTAAGGAGCTGGTGTTAACCTATAAAGTCCTAAATGGCTTGGGACCAGGATACCTGAAGGAATGTCTCCTTCCTTATATGCCTTCATGCCCCCTACGATTGGCAGGAGAGGCCCTGCCAGAAGGAGGTAAAGAGGGTGTCTACCTGGAGAAGGGCCTTCTCTGTGGTGGTGCTCAGATTGTGGAATGCACTCCCCAGAGATGTTCGCCTGGCACTGACTTAATACTCTTTTTATTTACCCATCATTTTAAGGATTAAGCAATTTTAAATATTTTTTAATATCAACAGTGGCATTTTGTTTTTGTTGGTGTTATGAATGTTACTTATTTATCGCTTTGTTTATTTATTGTCTTAATTATTGTAATTATTGTTGTTTTTATTGTAATTATTATTATTGTAATTATTGCTGTTTTAATTATTGTAAGCCGTCCTGGGACAATTTTCATATAGGATAGGGTAAAAATATTATAAATAAAAAAATAAAAATAGCTTATGTGGAATATATATATTATAATCGCATTGGTGCACATGTGATGATCACCTTCAGAAATCAGAATTTACCTGCAGGATTTTGCAATAGGGACATCCTTGCTAAAAATGCAGTGCCAGTATATAAATGGGTGGAGTCCCCCAAGCCTGTAATTCTTTGGCTGTGAGAGCGAGGAAGGCGTCCCTTTTGTTATGGAGATAAAGTGAGAGATGGATGCCTGCAGAGATAGCCATCTGCAAGGAGTCTTGCCTTCACCACCCCAACCCGCACCTCACCCCCAGAGTGTGACACTTTGATATTGGGTGAGAACAGCAGAGTAACAGTAAATCTGCAGTAACCAGTCTAGGCAGGAACTGGATTTGAAACGGAGGCAGTGAGCTACTCTCTGCAGGACATCTTTTGACACTATACAGGCTCCTTTAGAAATCTCATGGAGAGCAGGAATCTGTTGGAGTGCTAAACTGCCCAGAGAACTGTGGCCAGTGGCAGTATAGAAATGAAATCAATAAAACGATGCTGTGAACCCTCATCTCATGCTCAGCCTGTACATGCATGCCAGTAAACCTTGTTTAAAGGTAAAGGTAAAGGTTTCCCCTTGACGTGAAGTCCAGTCATGCCTGATTCTAGGGGGCGGTGCTCATCTCCGTTTCCTAGCCGAGGGAGCCAGCGTTTGTCCGCTGACAGTCTCCGTGGTCGTGTGGCCGGCATGACTAAACACCGAAGTGCACAGAACGCTGTTACCTGCCCACCGAAGTGGTACCTTTTTATGTACTTGCATTTGCATGCTTTCGAACTGCAAGGTTGGCAGGAGCTGGGACAGAGCAACGGGAACTCACCCCGTTGTGCAGATTCAAACCGGCAACCTTTCAATCAACCAGCCCAGCAGCACAGCGGATTAAACCACTGCGCCACCTGCACTCCAAACCTTGTTTGCATGCATGTAGAGAGCACTATAGGTCTTCACCTAAGGCAGGGGTCCTCAAACTTTTCCACCAAGGGGCCAGTTGAAAGCTGCCAGTGCTGGGTGTGGGCCGGCAAGGTGGTGCCGGTGGTGTGCGCGGGCCGGCACAGGGGTGGGGGCTGCGCGTGTGGGCAAGCGCGCTGAGGGGGGTGGCGGGGCATGCGGCGATGCAAGGTGAGGCGAGGTGCGGGCGGGGGTGGGCATGGGCTGTGAGGCGGGTGCACGAGGCAGCGGCTTGCTCACTTGGAGATCATTTTCTCCGAGAGAGCGAACCGCTGCCTCCCCACACGCGGGGCGAGGTGCGCAGCTGTGTGCATGCCAGTGCATGAGGGTGCGCGTGGGGAGGGTCCAAATGGGCATGGCCGGCTGAATAAATGGGCATGGTGGGCCAGCCCCAGGCCTTAGTTTGAGGACCCATGACCTAAGGCAATGACTCTGATTCACAACACAAGGACCAGCGCTGGCAGCGGGAGGGCTTGGGGACTCCATTTTAACAGCAAAAGTGGGATTAGTAGAGATCGTACAAGAATGGCATTTCTGCTCAGAAAACAATGGGAGAAGCCTGGTTCAAAGCCTTGAATACAAATGTGTATGCACACCTTTGGAGAAAGTGTTGGCACATTTCCAAACTTATGAGTTCACTCAAAAATCTTGCATTTTGGAAGAATCCACATTTCCTCAAAATGCACATTTCTCACACTTTACTGAATGTGAAAAAGGTGTCAATTTTCAGTGTGCCCTTTTACAATGAACATTTTTCCTTTACTGAATATGCCAGTTTTTCCCAGTTGTGAAATAGTAGTGTAATGATAATGTACTGGCTGAATTAATTAGTCTCTCCTTTCTTGGACATTTAATGTATATTGAATGTTTCCATTCTATGGGCCATTGTTTTGTTTTTCATATGTGTTGGCATATCCTTGTCAGGATTAGAATGATTTAGTCTGGTACAGTTTGGAACAGTTTTATCGGTACCCTATCTACTCTGGGTGTTTTATTCCTTCCTAGTGCTTCCAGAGCAGCTTTCTAGTATTGCAGGCTCTTCCTCAAAGGATTCCTCTTTGAAAGAGTCTATTATATTTTTATTTCTTCCCTACGTATTTCCTGCCTTCAGAGAATAAATTCTGTCTGCAGATGATGGGAGCCATAGTCCATAGTGCAAAACTTCTGCCAGCTACCACACTGGAGAAGGCAGATTTAGGGTAGGGTATTTAGGGTACATAGTAGCTAACCACTGGTTTTGAAGCAAGCCATCAAGTGTAACGTTGTCTTTGCCAGCCTGGCACCCTCCACTTATACTTTAGTTCCCATCATTCTCAGCTAGTAGGACTAATGACCTAATTATCTGGACTAATGCAGGGAGCAGTAATCCAAAATAACTGGAAGGTATCAGGCTGAAAAGACTGATATAGGGTGTGTTGTAAACAACTAATTGTGGGGATTTTCAATTGCTGATCACAAAAAAGCCATACAGCATAAATGAGTTAGAAGAATTCACCTCAAAGGCACAATAGTCATACTCATCTTCTAATTTTAATTTAAATGGAAATGCACTTAAAAGTGACAACACAGCTAGTTTGAAAGGAAATAAAGAATTAACAGCAAAATCATAAGCATGTAGCTTAATTATTCTAATACATCATCTTGAATAAGACTGATCATTTTTGTGTGTTATATCAGTGGCCAGCTTTAGTTTTCATGCTATGCTGTCTGAACTGGCCTAGCCTGAGTTGAAATTCCCCTCCAAATAGACAGTCTAGAATATAAGAAAATAAAATAGAGCAAAAGAAAGATAAAATTACAGCCACCATTTTCTCCATGAATAATTGTATAAACAGGCACCACTCGACCTTTTAGGAACAAAGACTGGTTAGTGTCCGCTTATGCATTCTCTGGTGTCCTTCAACGGTGTCTAACTCTTAATGCAAACTATTAACCCTTAATGTTCTATTTCTAATGACTAAATATAGTAGACCATATCACAAGGATATTCTTACTCAGGCTTTCTCTTGTCTGTGGCTTGATATCTTCGATCAGCTTTAGAAGATAGGAAGGCAGAACAGGCATCTTTTCTTCCAACATCACAAACTGCGATTTCCAGCTGGGCCAAGATGAAGCTCAAAGAATTTCTGAATCTCCATCCAGGAGTGCTCCTGGGCTTTGGCATGGGCCTTTGCTTCACCTCCCCATGCTGTAGGTTTGCCCCTGATTGTGGAGATGTAGCAAAAGGGGATTCCTGGGGTTTGTATTAGGTGACCAGCCCCTGGGTATGAGAGCAAGGCACAGTTATTTTTCCCATGCTGCTTTGCTCTGGCTATGGCTCTCTCGGCAAGCGACTTGCTGTTTATGCTGTGGTCATCTTCTCCCACCACAAAGAGCACGTGACCCTGGGCCTTCTCCAGAGGGATGACAGAGGTTTGATATTTATCCTCAAGATCTTGAAAGATAGGGAGAGTAGACATCACACCTATGTCATTGATGCGAACTTTCTCCATTGTGTAGGGAGCAGCAGGGATGTGGATGTCACGAAAGCGGACTGGTGCACCTATCACTGCTGTGGTACCATTGATGCACACGGCAGCCACAATTTGCTCTAAGAAGGTATACATGGCCAGTGCTATTTCTGACCCTTTGGATAACCCGATGACTCCGAGTCCTGGCCCTCTTACCTGGGAGAAAGAAGACACATATATCGACATGGTTAAAAATCTTCATCAAAGGCTTGAGAGTCCATACTGGAATCATAGCTTAGTAAAACAGACTTTCATGTGCCGTTTTTAAAGTTAGAAAAGCAGTGGTTTTGCACACTGCACAGACTAAGTTGGTAGATTAAAATGACAGAATTTTGGACAATTCTACTTCAGACAACATGTCAGCTTTTAGCCTTTGTTGCTTCTACACTACTGCCCTTTAGCACTGGTGTGGCACTGCTTTTCAGTCCTAAAATGATGGTACCACTGTAACATAATAGCAAGCAATGGCCTACAGCCACGATCCTTTTGCCTGGTTTAGTCACAAGGATGCTCCATCCAACAAAGTCCTCTTTTTATTGCTGAGTGTTAAGTGATGGATTTGCCTTAAATAGTCATCCTCTCCCTGCTGTTGCAGGTGCCAGTGCAGCTGTAAGGGAAAACTTCTGATTAAATAATTCTGGCTGTGAAATCAGGGATAAACAGGAGGGGGAATATTCATTGTGCCTCTTAACATTACAGAAGAAGCACCCCTTCCCAGCCATACCTTAGGGTGTTGTAAGAGCAGTTTGCACGCCTCCTCATAATATTCCAGGTCCACTTCTGTCAGGTTCTTAGGCAGGTCCTCATATGCAAAGAGAGCCAGCGCCAGAACAGCAAAGCCCCTGCTAGCAAGTAGGCTTGCTCGGAACTCAAAGAGGCCTCCAGCCCCACCAAACATGTCAATCACTCCTGGAAATGGCCCAGGCCCTGCAGGGAAAATTGGAAAAATTAAGGGAGCAAGAGAAATTTCTTTCTCTCTCACACAAACATGTCCACATTTGGACAACAAATACTGAGGTATAGCAATGGTAAATTACAATTAAGCCACTGATTGCATTTCTACCTTGTGATTTTTTTTTTTTTTTTTTTGATAACTCAGATATGTAGAAGAGGGATCTCAAATATGGTGGCCACAGGGACCTCCTGATGTACCCATGAAGTTCTCCATTCCCTAACCTCTTCCAAAACTAAACAAACAAACAAAACTGTCTTTAATACAAGCTTGGAAAATGTTCAGACAGTCTTCTTTCTCTGCCTTCATTTCATCTTTCTCCTGCACTCACAGATTCCCACCTCCGTATTTACCATCCATCTCTTCCGCTTACTCTTGCTTCTCTTCTTGACCTTAATCCTACTCTTTCTTTGCCCTTGCTGTCTTGCCTTCTTCCTAGCGTCTTTTTTGCTATTACTCCTCCTGCTTGCTCACTCTTTAGCTCACTTTTCATGGGCAAGGCCCTCACAACAGTCATCATGAGACCAGCCACATGCACCAGAGACACTATTTTATGGTGATGCCTGCAGCCCTTCCTCAAATTCCCAGAGGTGCTCAGAGTTGGAGGCTCTGCCATACAGAACAGTAATCATGTTTGCTGCAGAGTGGGCTGAGGCTAGACCAGGAGGCAACACAGTAGCAGTTGCTAGGTAGATGTTTGAAACCCAGGACCACCAAGCTGGTTTTCTCTGGAATGCTGCCTGTATCATGTGCAGGGTCAGCTAGACAGACAGCTGAGGGGTTGCAGTGTGTGGATGAGATGAGGGAGGAGAGAGGAACAGTTCAAATATATGAGGCACCAGGGAACAACATGGGCCATACTCAGCCTGTATAGGAGGGGTGGGCTCCACTTGAACAAAAATGGAACCAGGCTACTGGTGCATAACTTAAAAAGGTGGCAGAATCGCTTTTAACCGGAACCCTGGGTCAGGGCTCAAACTCCTCAGAAAGCTGAACAAACGGAGGTATGGCAGGAGGTCCATCCTGCCTGGCAGAAGTCTATCAGTAGCGCTTTCCTTGACAAAGACCCCTGCTAAAGCAGGGATTCAGCAAGAATAAATGTGATTCCCCAACTTGAATCTGGAACAGGACACTGGGCCCTTGAGGGGCAGGGGCAAGAAAACAGGCGTTCAGTTTTCATACCTGCAGGCAAGAAAAGGGTCCCCCGGACCCGCCCCGTCTTGATGGGGAAACGCTCAATTCCAGGAGCTGCGTACCACCTCTCCACAGTGCAAGTGGCCACTGGTGCCATCGCAGGCGGTGGGTTCAACTCAAAGGAGCTGAACAGGTTGATCTGGACATGGAAGGGGCTGTTTATCACGTCGCGTTTCAGCAGCCTGTGGAACATCTTCTCCGGCTTCAGGGTGCAGAAGAGGCCCATGGGCCACACCCCTACGTAGTTGCCTCCCAGGGCAGATGCCTGCTCCAGATCCACGACCCCGGCCTCGTTTGCCTGGTAGAAGGCGACTGCCTCAAACTTCACCCCTTTTTCATCAGTCAGCAATGCCTGCAGGGTGACAGGCTGGGAGGGGGCCAGGCCCGAGGCGGAAATCGACACAGGTGTGTCGGCTAGTGCACTTCTCGGCGTGGCAGTGAGCTGAGCCATGGCAGCCAACACTTGGGTAGACCTGGGGAAAGACAATACAGTGCGTATTGTTTATCAGAGAAACCTCTGGAGTTCATGAGAGCTAGCCGGGCTGGGGCACAGCCACTCCGGTCCCTGCATCTGGGACTCAAGTGTCCTTGCCAGCCCTCACTCAGTGAACAAGAAAGAGCTGAACCATCAGGGAGATCCAGTGCTGATATGGAATGACAGTGACAAGGAACACACAGACACACACAACGCACACTGAGCGTCTTCCTATGACAACCGACAGAGCTGAAGTGATGGTTGAATACTGCCAGACTGTCTTCTTAGTGGTGGGTCCCCAGATGTGAAACACTTTCCCCCCTACGGCCTGCCTGGTTCCAGTACTACCATCCTTTCCATGTCAGGTTAAGACTTTTATCTACTCCCAGGCATAAGTTTTTAAGCCACCCAGTAATTTTTATTGTCATGCATTTTTAATTGTTTTGATAATGGTTTCTCTGTATGCTGCATCATTGTATTTTTAAGAGTTCAACTTTTTGTGAATCACCCAGAGAGGATTGGCTATTGAGCGGTATGAATACTATCAAACACAGAAAATAAATATTATCAACTATCACCAAAGCAGGAATGAGAAGCGGCCATCTCTATTCACCTATTAATTTATTCAATTTATATGCTACCCCATTAGCTATAAGGCTCTCTGGGCAACTTACAATGTATACAATAAATACAACAATACAATCGAATTGCAATTTATAATAAAGCCAAGAATAATAGTAAATCTGATAAAGATAATTCATAAAGTAAAATAAAAACAGATAATACAAAGTAAGGTCAAATGAATTAAGACGTGATAAAATGAGAGGGGACATAGCATATTAAACCAATTGAAACAACCTCAAAACAAAACATATAATTTATTAACATAAGTATATCAGACATAAAATCATGAAATGGCAGCAGCAGTTGACAATATTAAAAACCTTATAAAATGATAATTAAAATAAAAAAATCTGACAAATTCACCCATCAAAGTATTTGTGGAACAGGAACATCTTTAGTTGGTGTCGAAAAGAATAAAGAGATGGTGCCAACCTGATCTGATGCCAGCAGAATTGAATTCCATAACTGGGGTGCTTTGATGGGAAAGGCCCCCTTTCTTGCTGCCTCCCCCTTTACTTCATTCAGGGAGGAACACAGAGATGGCCTCAGATGGTGACTGCAGTGATTGTGTTGGCGCATCCTGAGACAGGTGCTCCCACAGATAGCCTGGCCCCTACTTGCTTTCTTCGGTGATACAGTGGTAGATTTTGAAGTGTGGGTGCTCATCATAATGGCCTCCCACAGCCACCCCTCCCAGAAGACTCCAAAAACTCTCCATACACCAGATGTGGGCAGCCAGAGCCTTTCCAGCATCTTGAACGGCATCACCCATGAGCCCCGGCCAGCACTGCCAAGGTGGCAATGTGAATGGCATTTACTTCTCTTTCTCAGCTACAAAAGATCTTGGGCTGGCCCTGCTGCTGCTAATTGGGATCATCCGCCGGCTTCTGTGTCTGTGTGCACTTATCCCCTTTAAACCACTCCTTAACAGTTGTGGAACTGTAGCACTGGCCTTGCAACCACATGCACCTGGAAGCAGTTTCCTCTCTTCAGACAGGTGTGTGGGCTGCCCCAGAGTTCCCCAGTCTTCGCTGTTGTTCAGACAACAGGGACTGAATGGATTCACCCCCACCTCAGCAGAGGCCTGCACCCGCCCCCTCCTTACCCAGCAGCGGCTAAGGGACACTCAGTGACCCTCCGAGGCTGTCCTGCCCACGTGTCCTTCTGTCCAGCTGGCAAGCAGTCATCCATGCAACATCTGTGCAGTAGGCCTCACCCTTGCTGGCTACGTCCCTTCACAGCCCTATCTCTGTATTTGTCAGCATGGCTGCCTTTCTTTACCTGGAAAGCACTGCTCTTTTCATCTTAGCCATCTCACCCTGTTGCTAAACTCACCTGGGCACTTCTTAACGTTGGATTCCCCAGGGCTGAGTCAGCTCCTCTCCCTCGCGAGCCTGTCCTACCTCCCAGGTTCCCACAGAAAAGCCTCTCTCAGCTGATCCTGTGCACTGGCTCTTGAGCTTCCCAGCTCTGGCAGGCTACTTATAGTGCCGTGTGGCCACAGGGCCTTCCCTCTGCTGACTACACAACCCACCTCAGGCTTAAATAGCCCCGCCTCCAAGAAATGGCAGCAGCCATCACTGCAGCCTGCAGGTTTGCCAGGCCCCTTCCTCCATGAGCCCATCTTCGCACCACAGCCATCACTTGCTCTTCCTCTTGTTCTTGTTCTTGCTCTTGTCCTTGCTGCTGCTGCTCCTCCTCCTCGTCTTCCTCAGCATTGCTCCCACTTGGTGGGCAGAGAACCAGTCAGCGGGCAGACTGGGGCATCTCCTGCTCCTCCTCCCCATCACCATTATCTGGGCTGTAGGTGAACAAACAGGGGCACTGAATGGTGAAGAGTTGGGGCAGCTCCAGGAGCTGCTGCCCTGCAAGGGCCCTTGGCAGGTGCCCACCCAAGACATCCTTTGACTCAAGCCCACAGGACAAGCAGCTAATGAACCAGGCATGCACTCAGCACTGACACTGTTTGGAGACTTTGCTCTCTGGTGAAAATTGCTTTGTGTAAGTTGGGCAGCAGTCTGCCACGGAAAGGGCAATCATTAACTGGCACACAGGATGAGATGGCTAATTCATGCCATAATGCTGTTTGATCCAGAGGCCAATGGCCTCACAGCCCTGCTCTGTACCATTTCCCAACGTTTCATGTCTGAGAATGACTGCCCTGACTATTTTTTACAACTCCAGCAGATCTTTTACTCAAGGTCAGCCTTTTTAAGAAGAACAACCCTGAGATAGAAGTTTCAAGACAAGTTTTTCTGGACTATGCATTGTGAATGGATGTAGAATTAGTGACATGTGGACATGGGTTGTAGAATTAACAGCTTCAAGAACCTCAATGTTCTTTTGTTAAAAATAAACTTCCTAGCTTTTAAAACAGAACTAAGAATGTAAGAAAAGCCATTTTGGATGAGACCAAGGTCCATCTAGTCTCGCACGCTGTGCACACGGTGGCAAACCAGCTGCCCACTGGATCCCTCAAGCAGGGTGGGTGCAAGACCTCCTCCTGCCCAGGCTCCTCAGCAACTGGCGTATGCAGGCAGGCCGCCTCAGGTAAAGGAGGAAGCACATGGCCAGCAAGGCTAGGAGCCACTGAGCGCCACCTCCCTCGTGAATCTGACCAATCCCCCTTTAAAGCCATCCAGATTGGAGGTTATTACCACTTCCTGTGGCAGTGAATTTTATATTTTAACTATACAGTATGTGAAAAATACTTCATGCTTTCCACCCTAAACTTCCCACCAATCCACTTCATGGGATGACCCTGGGTTCAAGTGTTACGGGAGAGGGAGAAAAATGACTACCCCTCCACTTCACACCATGCCTTATGTTAATCACCTCTGCCATGGCTCCCCTTACTTGCCCTTTTCCTAAGCTAAACTGTCCCAGTTGTTGTAGCCCTTCTTCGTAGCGGAGCTGCTCCAAACCAGTTTTGTTGCCCTTCTGTACTTTTTCCAGCACAATAATATCCTTTTTCAGGTAAGGCAACCAGAACCCAACACAATATCCCAAGGGCAGTCACACCAGAGATTTGTATAAGGGAAGTGAGTTCTTGGCAGTTCTATTTTCTGTTCTGTTCCTAATTATGGAGTTTGCAATGTTCACGGTGGCTGTGCACTAGGCCGACATTTCCATCCACTACCCCAAGGTCCCTTTCTTGCTCAGTCGCTGCTAGCTCAGATCCCATCAGCATATACTGGAAGTTGGGATGTTTTCCCTCCACATGCATAACTTTATGCACACTTGCTTACACTGAACTGCATTTGCCATTTCGATGTCCATTCACCCAGTTTGAAGAGATCCCTTTGGAGCTCCTCACGATCCCTTTTAAGTTTACTACCCTAAAAATTTAGTGTCATTGGCAAACTTGGTCATTTCACTACTTACTTCCAGTTCCAGAGCATTATGAATAGGTTGAAACACATTGGTCCTAAGAGTGTATGTATGTAACCCTGCGGGACTGCACTAGTACATAGCTCCACTGGGAGAAGTTGCCATTTATTCCCACCTTCTGTCTTCTGCGCTTTAACCAGACAGTGATCCATAAGAGGACCTCCCCTTTATTCCACGACTGCTTAGTTTGCTCAGGAGCCTTTGCTAAGAGCCTTTCTCAAAAGCCTTTAGGAAGTCCAAGCACATAATGTCTGCTGGATTTCTCCTGACTACTACATATAGTTACTCACGTACCTGTCCCCCGCAATCCTGTGCCAAGAAATGTTGCATTCTGCAGTAGGGATATATCATGCATATCTACATATGATAATAATGCATATCTTATGTTGACAGATGTTATTTTGCCAGACATGGAAGAGGCAAAGACACTGATTCAGCCACTTCTCTCACCCCGTCCAAGCGTTCTTTCTGCATCGAAGCATCGCACAAGGAGAGGGAGGGCACCAGCCCTGCCTCTCCACACTGCGCTACCGTCTCTCTGTATTCGTGGCACATGTTGCCTGAAGAGGAGACCCTCCTGGATGCATGGAGGCTTTCTGCATAATTGCCAACCCTGAAAAATCTGGTTTTTTAACCTTGTGGAGAGCTCCACGGATGCAGGATGCTCCCCTCTTAAGAAAGGCCCTCTCCACACATACTGCATTGTGAGAGGGGTCGCTTGCCCCCACTCCTTGCACCATGAAACCTTGACAGCCAGTGTGGTGTGGTGGTTGAGAGCATTGGACCACGGACCTGGGAATTTGGGCTCTTGACCCACTTGACTCTGACGTTCACGTGGTGGCTTTGGCTCACTCAGTCTCAGCCTAACCCACCTTGGAGGCCTGCTGTTGTGAGGATAAAATGAAGTGAAGGTCTATGTAAGTTGCCTTGGAAAAAGGGTGCACTACAACACAACACCACACAACACGAGACAACACACCACCACCACCAAGATGCACTGAGAACCCCTGAATAGGGCTTTTGGCTTCCGAGATTTCAGAAGGGCTAGAGATCTGCCCATCTTTTTAAAACAAAAACAGGCACTCCTTGGAAGCTTGTGTGTGGCAACACCCGATACATGCAGAGGTGCTGTGCAATTGCAGCATTTGCACAACCCTGCTGTAAAGGCGTGTGCGTATTAAGATTGCCACCAGTAACCATTAAATGAGGCTACAGGACCCTACATAGTTCTTCATCCTTCCTCTGGACTAACAGAAAAAATAAAACAAACATGCCAAATGAGAGACAGAGACAGTATACTTAACTTCAGCTACAGTAATCGAGATGACGAATTACGAAGTGTTTGCTTCTGCTTAACTGTTCCCACCCCATTAGAAATCTGAACCACAACCAGGCTAGTGCTTGTTGTGTATTAGCACTGGCAGCTTCGGTTGCAGCAAATGATCCAGCTTCCTGGTTAATACCACTTTCATTTAACAAAAAAAGGCAAATAACATAGATATCTGGATACAGGAGAGCCCTTTCAAAACCCTTGGTAGGGAGGCCACCTGATTGTGGGAAGCAGGTCAAACACAGCCACTGCCACGCATCAGACTCCGTTTTTTGCATAAGACCAATGCCTTCCTACACTCACATTTCAAACACCATTCCAAAAACTGAATCTTGGACATGATGGTAACTCTATGGGGAAGAAAGAAACTGACACAAGGAGGAATTTCAAATGGCTCTCAGCCTGTGCTTGACAGTGTTGTGAACTGGTCCCAAATTGCTAGGTCTCATTTAAAAAAAAAAGTTTGAATGGGTAAAGACATCATGTGCTTTAGGCTCAGAGACTAAACACATTTCTAGTGTTTAGGGAGATGCCCAGCAATGTCTTCAATTCACCCTTTACTTTCATTTGCTCTCTATGCTCTCAAAATAGAAAATGTCTTAAAAGACCAATGAGGCAATGCCAGGGCCTTCTGACACTATCAGGGAAGTGCACTGGCTGGGGGGAGAGGATTCTTCAAAATCCCAACATCAAGGTCCTGTGACCCCACACAATCCTCCCCAACCCCCTCCAGCAGCTGGTGCAGAAAGAATGGCAGGGGGCTGCTTCTTCTGAGTGGAAATGTACCTCGAAGAGGGGGAAAGGGTGTGTTGGGGTATGGGGAGGGGAGAACACTAGGGCTGCCTCCATACACTGACCCTATGGCAGGGTCCTTCCAGGTGATGGGTACTGTTTTAAGTCCAGAAGCCCGGTCCAGTCAAGGCACCTCCCTTTAGACTTGACAATACTTAGGAAGGAACAAGAGAGGATATACAGTTTATTGAGTCAGTGAAGAAAAGTGGTTGCAGAATATACACATACAAAGAAAGCTTACATTCCCCTTCTTTGTGGCTGTATTGGTATCCTGAAGAGGATACTCCAATGCCTCTAAAGTTGCCTGGGAGAACAGGATGTTGGTTCCTCTTTCCAGACTGAGAACAACGCACACCTTTTCCGTGGATGTTGTAAAGTTCCTCTCTCCCACTACTGCAGAGTCTCAGTGCATGCACACACAGGCCCCAAACCCCATCCTGGGCAATAGGCCTGGAAGGTGAAGCTGCTTCAGTAAGAGAAAAAGCCTGGTCCACACAGCAAAAGCAGCTGTTACCTATGGAACGATCCAGAAAGTTGGTTCAGGGTAATTATCTCTGGTGCTCTTTCTGAAAGCTGAAAGCCATCAGGACTTGGCATGATTTCAAGAAAGTACTTGGGCTTTTGGATGCTGGAAAAGTTAATTGCACTACCTGCTGAACTCTACCTCCTTGCCATTCATCCAATAGAGCCTGTAGAATAGAGATACCTGTTACGCAAAGCTGTAACAAGCACTAGTGCCATTTTAACAGCTCTCTACAACTGTGACAGATGGAATTTATCCTACTTTTTAATACCACTTTTGTCTCATAACTAGAGATGTTAATATCCCTCAATTTAGGTAAACTATTAAAATGTTACCACTTTGTATCTGAGGCAATAGGTTATCTTCTTTTACTTGATGTTGCAAGTTGGCATGTTCTCTCTCTCTCTCTCTGTGTCAGAGGGAGGGAGGGAGATTGATTTATGCACAGTATTTCCAATCTGCCATAATTTATTTTCGGACCAGCTTCTTCTTCAGGCATAGCAATCTCTTTTGGTACCTTTGGGACCAACTATCAGGAATTATGAAATATCAGCAAACATACTTGTGAAGATGCCCTGGGTTCAAAACAGCATGGATTGGGTTGTTAGCATTTTAGTGCCCTTTCTGGTCCTGTGTCACTGGGCTAAGTCTGTAAAGGTTGTGCTGTCTGACCACCCAGTACTCTGGTCTGTGCTGAGCAGTTGTACACTCATTGCCATATTGGTCCAATAAAGTAGATAGGAAGTCTCTGACATAGGATGCCTCCTTGCTCATGGCAGGCCAGCTCTGCCTGGCTAAAGGAAAACTGTCATTTTGCAAGGGGTGGGAGATAAAAAAACGGGCTGAAGAGCTGACCCCGTCAGCTTCCTCCAGCAATGTTAATGCCACAGCCGACTGGGATTCTGGCTGGACAACTGCCTTATAGGGGACCCATTGCCTTGGCAATGTCTGGGGTAGTCAGTAATTTTGCTTGGGGGTATGATATTAAAGGTTCCATGTAAGGGTTTATTCAACTATTCCCTTTCCACCCAGTCCTTTCTTTCTTTTCTACTCTAATAAATTTTCTTTCTACATTGAGATTTGTGTGTTTTCTTCCAGGTAAACCCTGCATTAATTTCATTATGTTTGATCCAACTTACTACTGAATCTTGTTTCAGATTGGGAGAAGTAGGAATAAAAGGTGGCCGTTTTAGCCCTTTGTTCTAGTCACTCCTTTGTATCCATGAGGCCCGCCTACTTCAAGCCTCAGGGCGTGACTTTGGGATGGTGGCAACTAGTGAACTTGGTCCCCGTCTCCCAGCTGGGTAATTGGGTGGATCCTCCTCTTCCTCCACAATTCTGATTCCATGATTTCTGCCTTCTCCAATTCCCTCAAGAGGGTTGTTGCTTAGGGTTTTTGCCAAAAGATAACAAAGAATGGCTGACTTGGCACATTGTAGAACTCTAGGCCAAGGGGAGAAGGGACCTCCTTGCCTTGTTCCTCTGCCAAGGTTAAATCTTGATGCAATATAGCCACTTGCTTCAACTGCTGCTCTAAATGTTTGATGCAAGGCCAAAATGGTCTGTATATATTTTTTTTTCTTACTTTCCTTCACTAATTCAATCAAGAAAGGCCATTATAGGTGCTCAGGTACATTGGCATGCATCAAATATGAGGATCAGTTTTTGCTGCTCTGGCATTTATTCCCAGAGGGGCTGGAGAAGGAATGGGGGAACCAGCTGATGGGACACAGACACAGATGGCTCGGCTTTGAGATACCAGGGCTCTGCTGTGAACACAGAGGAATTGGCCACTGGCTCTAGTAGACAGCCTAGCAGGGAGGGGTCAGTGCAGAGGCTGTCCCTTGGTTCCCGGTACTGGGTGAACTAAGGGGGAGACATCTTTGCAGGATACATGCAAGATGCCGTTTATGTGCTGACTTGCCTTTGAGATCATGGAGACGGAAGTCTTTGGATAAAAATGGGGAGATTTAGGAGCTGAACAGGGGTTTAAGTGTTGGGTTTGTGGTGGCTAAGCAAGACAAACCACTTTGTGTGGTGCAGTGGTTTGGCTGCTCAACCAGGACTGCAGAGATCCAGGATCTAGTCTCCACACAGGTCACGCAGCTCTCTGGCTGACTTGGGCCAGTCACTGACTCTCACATGAGGATAAAATGGAGAGGAGCACTTTACCACTATGGGGAAAAAACAGGGTATAAATGTAATAATAGCTCCATTTTACTTTAGTTAATTTTAGGCAAACTGTGTTTGTACAGTGCAAAAAGTCTTGGGGGCAATCCTCTGTTTACAGAGAAAAATGTAAACTGCCCAGAGTTTCAGTTATTGGACCATATAAAAAATAAATGATGATCATCTCCTCGCATGCTGCAGCCGGCAGAGCTCACCCCACACCCCTCACAGCTGGTGTGGAACGAACCAGGCCAGCTGTCCCTCCAAGCTCCAAAATGGGCCTCCGAAAGGTGCAAGGGGCATGTGGGCAGATGGGGAGGCCAGGACCAACGGCTTGTGTCCAAAAGGCACCCTAGCCACCCTCCTTCTTCCCCTGTGCTGCTTCATCTGGAGGACCAAAATGGCATTCAGAGGAAATGCAGGGTGCAAGGTGTGGGGGCAGCAGCATGATGCACAGAAGGCGCAGAGCTTGGAGGCTTGCATGCATTGGGGGCGAGAGGATGGCACCCCATGGGATTTTAAGGCAGCTTCTCTTTAAATGTGTGAGATCCTCATTCCTGGCCAAATAGTCTGACTGAAGGAGGCTTCGTTTTTTAATCAGTCACAGTCAGCCTGGTGTTCTACAATGTGCCAAGTCAACCACTAAATTCTATCCCTTTTGTTTATTTCCTGCAACCAGCAGCACTGGACTTGAAGGTCCTGGAAGCACACTTTTGAAGTTTTGCTAGGCTGTGTTAAGGAGTTGCTCCATGAAAAGCGCTCATATTACCTATCACATTCATGCCCTTGTAAGAGGACTAAGGTGGAGCCTCAGCCATGCTGGCTTTCTGCCAAACAAAGCTGGCTATGCTGCAAATGCTCCTCCTATACCAACCTTTGATAGTTCAACTGAGGGAGTCACATTCCCTAACAAATCTTCAAGTGCTTACTACAGAAGGCTGCACCAGAAGAGTCTAGGTTAGCACCTAGGCCGTTCAAGGTTTTTAAAGTAAATGCCAGCCTAAGGGCTTCCCTTAAAGGTAGGCCACTGGCTAAATGTTAATCCAGCCTTCACCAACAGGGTGCCTTTCAGATGTGTTGGAGTACAACCTCCTTGTACTCCTGGAGTACATCCTTGACTAATGGTCGTGATGGCTAGGACTGATGGGGTTTGAAACTGAAAACAACTGGAGAGAATCAAGCTGGGGATAGTTGCCCTGATTTCTTCGGCCGGTTCTGAATTGTTTGAACTGCCGGACACCGTATTGCTGAAGATTCCACCAGTAGTCAATTCAGTTTCTAAAGTGACCCAGAAAATAATTGCAATCACTTAAGAACCAGGTGATTATACTGCCCCATCACAGACTTCCATAAAGAACATGTGCCATATGTATTTAAGAAAAATACAAGTTTATTCACTTGTTCATTGTAACACAGTCATCAGGACATTCTTCAGTCTGGAAGATGCAAATCCTTAAGCAATCACTTTAGGGCTTTGCCCTCCATTGTGAAATATGATAATAATTTAAAAAACAAGTCCCATTGGTACAGTCTGCAACATTCAACCTTACCAACATCAGGAAGAATCAGAAGAAAGTTTCAGATAAGGAGCGTTCAGCTGCACCTTCAATTCCTATGTAGGTAGCGCAAGAGTTGCAAGAGAAGCCAGGTGGAAGCTAGCTGGTCATCCAATGTCCCTGGCAGTAGGGCCAACATCTTGTCATATACATCCAGGAAGTCAAGAGATCAACTTCCCTATCCCATCACTCTTTGGCTGCTTTGCGCTGTGCCTGCTGTTTCTGTAGCAGTGCCAGTGTATCTCGCTTCTCAATACGGCGCAACTGTTTCTTCTTTGCTCTCTTCAGTTTTGCTGGATTCCGAATCTGGATGTAGAAAGTGAAAGAAAGAAAAACACTTCAGCTTTCATGTACATGATATTTAAGACTTGGAGAAACCATTTCCCTTTGCAGGAGCTTTAGAATTATCCTCCACAACTTTGATCAACTTCAGTTTGAAAAGTGTCTGGCAACAATACCAGTATCTTTCTGTGAAACAAAGCTTTTCATTAGAAAACTGACAAACAACCCGGCTGCCTCCCAACACCTATTATTTTCACATTGTGTCTTTTAGATTGTAAGCTTGAGAACAGGGAGTGGTTTACTGTACATCTCTGGAAGCTGCTCTGGGAATTTTTATTATCCAAAAAGCAGAATAGAAAGTTTTGAAATACCTTACATGGGTATCCATCACTAGTTTGGATGGGGAAAGATATCCAGCCACGTTCTTGTGTTATCAACGTGGCTACCTGCTGTGTGCATGCCTCTGTATGTGTCAGCCTGGACATTCACAGCCCAATCTACCACACTGTGTGGCTGCTACCCCAACTCCCCCCAACCTGGTACCCGATGGATGTGTTGGTTACAGTGTTAACCACCCCCAGCCAGCACGGCTGTGGACGGAGACTGTTTTTCTACATTCAAAACCAAATACAAAGGCCCAGTGTTATATGAAGAGCACCTCTTTATGCTAAGGTATTCCAGCTGGAAGGCTTCGTGTCAGAGGTCCTGGCCTCAGCTGCTTCAATCTTGGACAAGAAAGTCCTTACATACTGGTAATTGATTGGCCAGGCTGACAGAGTCTGTCCTCCAACACTCCCCCTTAATCAACAGCAATCAGGAAGCACAGCTTACCAAATGCTATTGTTGGACTGGCTATATTTTTTATTAAATATACTACTGCATTCATGCCTTGCCTTTTCCTCTTTTCCATGGAAAACAAGGCAGCTCCCATAACCCTCCTTGTCATTTTATTCTCACAACAAGTCTGTGAGGCAGGTTAAACTGAAAGTCAGTAACCAGCTGAAAGACACTCGAGAGCTTCATGGCCAAGGAGGATTAGAACAGGGCCTCCTGAGTCCCAGGATAATGCTCTCATCTCCGGTTCATTGCAGAGAAAAGGCCTCATCTGAGCACCTCACCAGAGCATCTAGTCTTATCAACCAGGCAAATTGCACAGAAGAAAAGGAACAGAAGCTGCCAGACTCACCACTTGCACAATCTCTGCTTTCCGCTCATTCTCCAGTCGTCTTTTTAAGTTCTCCTCCCTTCGTTGTTTTTTCTCCTGAACAGGAGACAGAAAGTAAAAATATTCATACATGATATTTCATGGGTCACAGCAGAAGCAGCCCAAGAAGATGCTTAGATATAAAATCCAAGTGTTCAGCTATTGAAAGGACATGATTGGCTTAAAAATGTATCATTTCATAATGTTATTTATTTGGTTTATATTCTGCTTCTTACAAAAAACTCAAAGCAGCTTGCATCATTCTCCTCCTCTTGTTCTCAATCTTATCCTCACAGGGTTATTGTTGTGAGGATAAAATTGAGAACAAGAGGAGAATGATGGGCTCAAAGTCTTGGGTTCACCCAAAGTCACCCTGCTAGCCTGCTAGCCCCAAAGTCACCCTGAGCTAGAACCCAGATCACCTCAGTCCCAGTCCCCTGCTCTTAAGCTCTTCCTCACACTGGCTCTCATGCATTATGTATGCCTTACGAAACAGAAAAAGAGGCATATTAACTTCCTTCATTGTTTCTAACCTGTATCATGAATTCAAGTCAGAGCAACTTTCCCAACATAGTGCCCTCCAGATGTTTTGAACTTGAGCACTCATGATTCCTTAACATTTGCCATTCTACCTGGGGCTAATGGGAGTTTAGTACCTAGACATGGGCATGCAATAAAGGACATAATATATTTACTTCCAGACACTTTAAGCAAGAAAAGCAATATTCTAGTCATAGGAACATGCTCTATAATTTTTGTGCCATGATTTGTTTAGGGGTAGGGGGAAAGGGAAAAAAGGTAATTACTGAGCTCTATTAGACTGTAGACCCATCATCTACAAATCGTTACTACCCATTACTCACTACTTTAATACCACCAATAAATATTCAACTGTAATGATTCAGGAAGCCATACTAGAGCACATTCCTTTCTTACCTCACGCTCTCTCTGTTTTTCTTCCTTCAAATGCAGGGCAAAATCTTTGACTAGTTTCTTTTCCTGGCGTTCTTTCATCTTGCGTTCCCAGGAAGTACGCAAAGGCTTGTCTTGAGTCATCTGGGAAAACCTAGCGAGGGGGAAAAATGCATCATCAGTGAAAAACAAGGACTAGCCATTACCATTATATAAGTGTAAGGCTGCAGTCCTTTAAGGCTGTAGCTGATGGAGGTTGAAATCCAAAACATCTGAACAACACCAAGCATGGAACAGGCAGAAAATTCTGCATGCTCCACAAATCGTGTTCATCATAAACAAGCAGTCATTTTGCATAAGACCTGAAATTTCAATCATTATTAAAGATGACAGGAATTTCTGTTATCCATCAAAGCCAACTATGATTTACATCCATATTTTATATCATAAAAACAAGCAACTTTGCAAAGTTTTTTTTCAAACTTCAATTTACCGTAGGCAAATATAACAGACGTGAACGAATAAGTCAACAGAATAAAACAAAAAACATTTAGGAGAATAAGCAGAGCTTCTATCCATTAAAACGACGTGGAACCCAGACGTCCAGCAGACTCTTCCCCTCAACGCCTCAGTGAAGGGCTACTACTTACCGCTTCTTGCAACGGTCTTTCCACACTCGCCCAGATTTGGGCTTCCCTTTGGGGATGGCGGGCGCCTCGTTCCGTTTCTTGACCAAGGGAGCTCTTCGCGACTTTTCAGTTTCCACCAAGGCGACTGCTCCTTCCCCATGCCCAGGCTGCTGCTGCTGGGGCTCCTCGCCCTGTGCCGTCTCTGAAAGCAACTCGGCATCTCCCAGCTCCAAGTCGGCAGCAGGCGCCGCCATCGTCCTCTCCACAAGCTCCCACCTCTTCCTTCACGTGGAGACACGACTTCGTCCCTTCGAGATGACGTTACCTCGCGTCACAGGGCACAGCGTCACGTGGGAGGCCTGCGCGCGTGCCGGAATAGTCCTTTGAGCCTAGGTGTGAGTGTTGAGCTACCCTTGGAATTAAAAGAGTTGCATTGTTACTGGTTGTCAAATATAACTTCTGCTTCTTGATTGCACTTTGGTAGAAGTCTGCGTGTGCGGGGTTGCAACGGAGGAAATGGCCTGAAAACTGAAAACAAGCAACAGGGCTACGCCTCTCTTGATTCGGGGTTTTTTTGGGGGGCGGGGGTTGGTCAGTGCTTTGAAGTCCATGTTTATGGTTTCTCCTCAAGAAAGTACTAAGGGCGCTAGAAAGACCGGGCAGCCCTAGCAGGGCTATAGGCACAATTTAAAAAATAAAAATAAATGGTGGGAGGGGGGAGCGGAGAGGGTTTTCCCCGCTATCCTACACGCTTTGTGACATATTCAATTGAAGTAGCGACGAAGTTTTAAAGGCACAAGAGCGGGTTTTAAAAGCGTACTTTCGAAAGTTTCATGTCCTGTGTTCCCCAGAAAACTGAAAATCTTGGGTAGGGCTCAAAGAGGTGGGAAGGAGTGGGAGGGGGCGACTTCTTTGCCTTGATTTTTATTTAAACACGTAATTCAGTGCATTTCTATTTGGAAGGAATCCAAATTCGGTATTTCTATAGCCATTCCGTATCGTATAAGTTGCCCTTGCAGCAAGTGACCACGCTTCTCACCAGAGGCTTATCGAAAGGAAAATAATGGCCTCCCCAGTCTAAAGCTGGTAACCAACTCTGAGAAGCAGCAGTAGAAACGTTGCTTAATTTAAAGGAATAAGCCCACCAGAGATTTAGGCACAGAAGGAGCAACTAATGGTGTACGCCGCCGTTGTCTTCCACATTTCCATTGTAGGCTTCGCTAGACTACAGCGGGACAAGAGAGAGCCTGCACTGGGAAGATTGGTAGTTAAATTTATTAACAAAGCACTTCATACAACAAGTGACAAATATATTTTACTCTGAATGCAGAAGGCAAATAGCAGAGATGTGGTATAAAATTACAACCCCAATAGTTCGAACTGAGATGCTACAGTGAAAAATGTGAAATGATTAGGCGGAGAGCACAAAAACAATCTGAAAAACACACAGTGCTAGATGCACATTTTTTTTGGAATAAGTTTTATTCTTAATAAACCTAACAAAAAGAAAACTAAAAAAAAATCATCAGTCATCGAAAACATCAGACCTACTGGGTCAGCCTCCCACATTTTTTCTTTTTATATTAAACTATAAACATATTTAAATCTATGTATAGTCCTGTTTCTCTAGCCAATGATAAAAAGAGTCCCAGGTTTGATAGAAGTCTGTATCTTCTTTTTCCTTCAGAGACAAAGTCAATCTGTCCATTTCTGCACAGTCCAAGATCTTTTTTAGAATCAGTTCGTAGGTAGGTGGCTCTTCACTCTTCCAATGTTGGGCAAATGCAATCCTCGCCGCAGTAGTTCCATGTAGAGTAGTTCCATGTAAACAAATATTGTTTGTTTACCAACATCAGGTACAATGCCTAATAAGAAAACTTCAGGTTTAAATGTTAGAGGTTTTTGTAACATTTCCTCAAGCCATTTGTGTATTTTAATCCAATACTTTTTTGCCTTTCACAGGTCCACCACATATGATAAAAAGTACCCGATTTGTGTTTACATTTCCAACATCCATTTGACATATTTGGAAACATCTAAGCTAACCTATTTGGTGACAAATACCATCTATAAAACATTTTATACAGGTTTTCTTTGTATGAGGTTGCTAATGTTACTTTAATATTTCTTTTTCACAGCTTTTGCCATTTCTCTAACTCAATATTATATCTAAAGTTTTGTGCCCACGTTATCATAGTTTCCTTAACTTGTTCATCTTCCATTCTCCTATCCAGTAGGAGGTTATACAATCTTTTAATCATTTTCTCATCTGATTTGAGAATCGCGTGGTCAAATGCTGTTAGCTCCTTATAAAAGCCCCACATTCTATAGTCTTTAGCATATCTCAATTGCATTTGAACCTTGTGCCACCAAGAAATATTAATTCCTTGTTCTTGTATTTCTTGATTCAATTTCAGTCCTCCATCATTATCCAAAATATCATCATATCCCACAGTCGTATCAAAATTCAATGCACTGGAATATACAAGAGCTTCCATAGGCGAAAGCCAACTTGGTAATTTAGTATACAGTTTTATCTTTAACTTTTCCCACACCTACATTAATGATTTCCTAATATACTAGATGCACATTCTTTAGAGTAATGCTAGTGCAGTGCTTTAGTATAGGTGCTCATTTTGGTGAATTTTGTAAATGGATATGCAGCTTATAAGCCCTTTTCAACCTGGAAAGTGCTCTCTCCTTTATTGCCTGCTATATTAACAACTGTAAGAAGGAAGAATGCACATGTCTGTTCAGATACCAAACACAGTTACAGAGTTATTTCAAGGATCCATTTGTAGGAAAAAAAAAGCCAGCGTGGAGTAGTGGTTAGAGTTTTGGACTGGGACTTGGGAGTTCGGGATTCTACTCTCCACTCAGCCATGAAGCCCACCGGGTGACCTTGAGCCAGTCACTGCCTCTCAGCCTAGCCTACCTCACAGGGTTGCTGTTACGATAAAATGAAGAGATATTTATAAGCCACCTTGGGTATCCTGAAAGAGGAATACAGGTGGGCTATAAATGCAATGTAACAATAATAATACAGCTTAGGTTTAATGTAGTAGTAGTAGTAATAATAATAATACAGAAAGGTGGGGTGGCTGCCTAAATGCACATCCAATGATTTGGATGAGAAACTGATTTAGGAAAGAAAATAGGAGCGGGAAAGCTTAAATCCCCTTCCTAAATCACCATGGTCCCAAACTGGGGCCTTGTCCACTTCATAGAGGTAAATCAGACATACCTGTATAACTGTGTTTGGAAGAGGAACTTTGCTTGACCTCAGTTACAAGGAGCAGTCAAAGAGGCTTTTTAAAAAGAGAGAAACAATAAAACCCTCACCCACCTCATCTTAAAAAATAGGCTAAGCTCAGCAACCATTTGCAAAGATATGGCACATATATATCAACACAATGCATAATTGGTTATTAAACCCAGTGCTTTCATTAAGGCCAAGCAAAATTCTACAAAATTGTGATTTCATAGAATCTACATTGCTCTGAATAAAGGTATTTGTCCAACTCCCGATTTGGGAGGGAGGGGTTTGTTTGCTTTTTTGGTCTTCTAACCAACACACTTACCTTCTGCATTTACATCAGTGATTTATCTGCTTTCACCTTATTACTGTTCTTTTCACATCCTCCCCAGTTCTTTTATCGTGCAACAACAACAAAATAAACAAATAACACCCCCTTAATATACCGACCTTTCTGCCTCCAAATGATCTTTTTGAATAACATAATTTTAAAAAACATTTGCATTATAATCTAATCTATTTGGTATTTCCATGCCACCTATCTCCACATTACACTAGAAGCAGGCTGCAAGGACCCGAACTCTAGTGATTTCCTTAGGTCATTTTAGTTATCTCAGAAATCTCACTAAGGGAACCCAGAACATAGTACTGCATGTAGGAAATAGTTGTCAAGTACTGGGTCTTACTGTTGACCCTTCTGGCTTAGTATTGCCCACATTGTTTGTCAAGCCTCCCAGGGTTTCAGACAGGTCTTTTTTGGTCCTGCCTGATATGCTGGGGTTTGAACTTGAGACCTTTTCATGCAAGCATCTGTTCTGTCACTGAGCTATGATGCTTTCCTAAATGCTTATCAGAAGGGCTGAATGTAGTAAGGTGGCAAGAAGAAAATAGAGCGTTGCTTTCTTTTCTTTGTTGCCCGATCCAAGTCATGTCTGCTCAGCTCTAAGTCTCACTGCAGTCTAGGTTATTTATTTTCTTTGATGCAAGTAGAAGACTTCAACCTTATGGTACAATTCTATGCAGAACAATGCAGAACAAAGTTCCACTGAACTCTGTGTGACTTGCTACTAAGTATAAGTAGGTGTGTTTAGGATTGCAGCCTTAAAGAACTGGATGAAGTACAGAACGGAAGGGGCAAGGCCTTTGGCAGGTAGGTAAAAGATTATTTTTTTCTTTTGGTTACAAACAGGATGTATTTCTGCTGGTATGTTGCATTTCAAAGATGCTTAACAGGCTTGGGTCCTGGTTACCTGAAGGAGCGCTTACGTCCATATATGCCCAGCCGCCCCCTGAGATCAGCGGGAGAGGCCCTCCTCCGGGAGCCCTCAGTGAAGGAAATTAGGAGGGTGGTTACTCGGAGGAGGGCTTTCTCAGCGGTGGCGCCTAAGTTATGGAATGTGCTCCCCAGAGAGGTCCGCCTGGCGCCGTCGTTATTTGTTTTTCGGTGCCAGGCGAAGACCTTTTTATTTAAGCAGCATTTTAAATGTTAATATTACTGAATTTTATTTGGCCAGGGTGGCTTATTTTATTCTACTGTATATATTTTAATTATTATTGTTTTATTGTGTATTTTATTCGATGTTGTGAGCCGCCCCGAGGCTTCGGCAAGGGGCAGCATAGAAATGTTTTAATAAATAAATAAAAATAAATAAGAAGAAATACACTGTGAGGTCATTAAAAAATGCTAAATTTTCCCTTCTCCAAAATATCCACATGCAGTTTTCCAAGAGGCTGTAATATTTTCTGGCAAATTCCCAAGGACCTTCACTTCCAATAGAACATGCCAGATTTTAAAGATGCATTTTATCACAAGGATCATTCTGACATGTTGGCAATAGCTCAGGAAATCCAGAGATTAATTGTTTGAATGGTTGCTTCCCTCTTATCTCTCAGAAAGCAGGAGAATGAATTCAGGCATCGGGACTGCTGTCTTCTGGGGACAGATAGGAAAAATGAGGGGAGTGGGTGTCTTTTTTTAAAGGCACCAATAGTTCTCTCTTCATAATGCAGCATGGGAAGCAGTTTTAAATTTTACAGAGCGCATCTTTTCAGCTTCTGTGGCAGTTCGTTCTCTCTTTCAGAGAGAGGTATACACATAGCCAACTTGCTTCAAGGAAGGAAAACACGGAGGTCCTCAGTACTGCTGCAGGTGGTGTTGCAGGAGGGAAAGGAATAAAGCTCTTGCCAATCAAAGTACCTGGAAAACATACAAAAGAAGATGATAGGCAGTCATTTTTCTGTATAGGAGGCATGTATCCTCTGTCTAGGTGCTCTGGTTGCCTTTCTTCACTGCTTCAAAAAACGCGTTGGGGTTGGCCTGCCCCTTGGGGAGACTGCTGGGAACCACTGATATGGCAGTGGAGGGGATTGCTTAGCATGTTTCTGGGACACCTTTTAAAGCAGAGACCTTCCCAAGGCAGCAGACAGCAATGGACTTCACATGGTAAAAAACCAGTGCAGTAAGAAAACAGCAATGTTTCAAGAAAGAACAAACTCCAGCATACAACTGCACCCACAATACAATTGCAGCTCTAATTATGTCTGTAAAATGCAGTCCAGGGGAGGCCCAAGTAAACAAGTAAATTTTCAGGGCCTTCCTAAAAGCCTGTCATGATGAGGCCTGGTGGACTCCTATTCCAGGTGTGGGGGGATTGCAGAAAAGGTCCTCTCTTGTGTAATCACTCACCCAGCTACTCTCAGAGGTGGGTGAGTGAGAATGACCTCTGTTACTTATTTTGAAGGGTGGGAAGGCCGATAGCATTGCTTGAATGCTACTTTGAGTAATTTGGTTCCAGATTTTAAAGGTCAACGCCACTTGGAAACCCACTGGTAACATGTGCACTTGGCACATCACCTTTCACCTGCCAAGACTGAGGTGGCTGCATTCTACACCAACGGAAGTTTCTGGAATGTCTTCAGTGACAGACCCATGCACAGTGTGTTATTGCAGTCCAGCGTGGGCACTGCTAGTGCACAGGCAAGTGGGCGCGATTCGTCCTTACTAGACAGGGCTGCAGCTGCCATACTAGCCTGAATTGGTAAAAGATTCCTGGACACTTCAGCCTCCTGTACATCCGCAGTTAGCATAGTGTCTGGGAGGACTCCCAGCCTATGCACTTGGTCTTTTAGGAGGCAGAGGTTGACCTCATTTAAGACCAGATGTAAATCTTCACCCAGAGAAGTTGATTTCCCAGCCCACAGTTTGGCTTAAGTTACAGCTCTTTCACCCTCATCCATTGCAAAACAATCACTAAAAACTAGTTTAAGTATTCCACAGCCTCCTTGGTATGCACAGAGGGAAATGAGAGGTCAAACAGAGTATCTTCTGCATTCTGATGGTACTTCAGCCCAAACTTCTGGATGACTTCTCCCAGCAGGTTCACATAGATGTTAAAAGCATGGGTGAAGGGATGGAGCTTTGTGGCACCCCAAGAGCCAAAACATGTTGCAGAAGTCATCCAGCACCTCCTTCTGAATCCACCCATCTTGGAAAGACTGGAGCCACGTTAACACAGTGCCTCTTAAATCCAACCCAGAAGAACAATCCAGAAGCATTTCTCGGTTGATAGTCTCAAAAGCTACTGGGAGGCTGAGTTGCAGTCCGCCACCTCCCACATCCATCAGCCAGAACTTAAAAGCACACCAATAATGAATTCCAATTTCTTGAGATCCAATGCAGCAACTGGAGCTTTGATGGGAACAGAACATAGTTTGAAGCCCTGCCTTCAAAGCCAGGCCAGGCAGGAGTGAGGGGAGCAGGAACATTTCTGGAGCTGGTAGACTGCTACTAATCTTTTCTCAGATTGACTTGGTTTAACTGAGTGAATTAAAAAGCCCTGTTTGAGGGCTCAGCACATCACAGCTACAGTTCACGAAGGCAAAAAAGTGGTTTTCTGTCCTTACCATCTGTTGATAGAGTAGCTGTCTTCTAGACCTGAATGTAGCCACCAGGGCAGTGACAGCTATGGAGAATTCAAGGAGTGAAAAGACGATGAACACTGAGCTAAGTCCATATGGCAGTAACTGCAGGCAAAGGGAAGATCACGCTGGTTATCATTGATCAGCCATCCCATTGTAAGCTTCAGACCTGGCATGACCTCCCCAACCCATAGCTTGCAAATACAGTCCTTATTGTTGCAGAGTGGCTCAGTGGCTCCATTCCTGGCTTTTTTGGGGATGGAGGAGGAAGGCACAAGAGATCCCTCAGAATTAGCAACATGGACAAGTCTGTTGGTCTCTAGAGAGGGTCTCAGTACCAAGTCCCACCGCTGAAGATGGACTTAGCCTCCAAACATGGGCCTCCTTCTGTCTGAGCCTTTCCCAAGTGCCGGCCCCCAGATGGTGTTGGACTATAGTTTCCATCACCCCACCAGTGGCCATGATGTCTGGGAATGATGGGACCTGAAGTACAACAACACCTAGAGACGTGAGTTTGGGAAATTCTATAATTTCAGGAGGAATCCTCAGTGAATTTAATTTCATTCTTAGGAAATTGCACAGGGAGGCCCAATTCTTCTCATTCTTACTTTGCAAACCTGGACTGTTGGAGACAACACACACTAGCAGGACACAGACATAATTTACAACCAGTTGTCAAAGCCAAACAAGAATCAATTGTTCACTCATATTTCATGTGCTGTATGCCTAGTTTACCATTAATGTGAAGAACATTACTCCTAGAAACAGAACAACCTCAGATTGTACTTTCATTTATTTATTTAAAGTACATATACCCCACCCTTTCAGTTCCTAAAGATCCTCACAGTGACTTACAATGTTAGAACAACATAGTCGAAATCATACAAAGCAAAAGACAATGAATCTGTACAAAAATGCAGAATCCAAATCATATCCCTACCCTAACACCATTCAAGCCCAAAAGTCCATCTAAAAAGTCAAATTTTCACCATTGGTTAGAAGGTGGTTGGTGTTCAGGCTAGGCCAAAGCAGCAGTGCCCACTTACCTCCTCTTCCAACCTGGCCTCAGGTATTGATCTGAGGGTACATAGAAAGGCACATGTAGAAGGGGTGGTCTTCCAGGTATCCTGCTCCCAAATCATTCAGGGACTTGAACCTTAGCAGCAGCTTATTGTACTGAGGCCAGAAACAAATTGGTAACAAGGAAGCTAGAATAGTACTGGATTTATATGCTTTGTGCAGCAGCCCCCAGTTAGGATTCTGGCCGCACAAATAAGGGCTTATTTTCAAGGTTAGCTCCATCTCAGCCGCATTGCAACCACTCAATAAAACACCATGATTCTGTATTAATCAGCTTCTATGTGGTTTATGAAATTTCTTTCTAAGCTTTGCATTTTGCAAAGCTTCCCCTTTCTTCCCAACCTACTCTGACAACTCTCCAGGCTTGGTGTTTTGAGACGGATATTCTGCCATGGTTTTCCTGAATTAGTACCTACCCTGTTGATCCAATTTCACCACCAGATTTGGACACTTCTTAATTTGGGGGTGGGGATTGGTTTGTTTTCACTTGTAAGGTTACAACCAACTATGTTTTGTGCAAGGTTTGCAGTGATGTGTGTTCTTTCACTGAAAGAACTTTCTACTGTCTGTCCTATGGTGGTGAATTTCATGGGGAAATGAAGTGGAATGTATTTTTGATCAGTATTGAACTGGGTGTCTTTTTAGGATGATCAAACCCCTTTGCATAAAGTACACTGAGTTCAGAATACCTCTCTCCCCTCTTATTCCCAGCCCCTTACATACAACAACATCATATGCATTCTTAAACATGCATCAAGAAAAAAAGTATATTGCATCATCCCCATTTTAAATTACTGGGGCAGTACAATATGGTTTGCATGTCATCTGCTACTCACAGTTTGTTAACTGTGGGTTGTTGAAAACACAGTAGACTGAGCATGTATCCTGCTTCTTGTTCAGCCACAAGCTTCCATGGCAGTTCACAACCCAGGGATGCTTCATGGGTTAGCTGTCATGATGTCCCACGGGTTGAACCCCTGGGATCACGCTCTGGCTTGTTCAAACCCCCACAACTCAGAGTTCCGGATTTGGATGTCGCAATGAGAGCCAGGCCTGTGTCTTCAAGCTTCTTTCATAGTTGGGCTGGAACATCATTGGAGATAACAAAGAATCTTTCTGTTAAATAGTAGCCGTTTCCTGCTTCTTAAACCTACAGGGAGGCAAATTCCCTCCATCCCCTGGAGTCTCTGGATGCCTTAGTGGAATCCAGGCATTGTAACAGATTGTGGATTGTGACTGCATGCACTTGCTGAGAGAAAGAGAGAGAGGGAGAAAGGGCTTACCTGGTGATATTTACTGCAATAGAAATGAGGCCAAAACTTTTCATCACATATATTTCCTTCTTGAACTGCTTGGACTAGCTCAGTGGTGTGGAAGATCACTGCAGCCAGTGCAGCCACGGAGACTATGCAATTGGCAGCGAAGCAGCTTTGCACCTGCAGCAGTCCATTAAGCGAACAACAGAAGCAGCTGTAACGCGCTTTACGTGGGGCTTCCCCTGAAGATGGTCCGAACACTTCAATTGGTGCAAAATAGAGCTGCCAGGTTGCTGACGGGGACTGGGCGTTGTGTTCACATGACTCCAGTCCTCCGTCAACTTCACTGGCTTCCCATTGAAGCCCGGGCCCAATTCAAGGTGTTGATTATGACCTATAAAGCCCTAAACGGCTTGGGTCCTGGCTACCTGAACGAGCGCTTACGTCCGTATATGCCTGACCGCCCTTTGAGATCTGCGGGAGAGTCCCTTCTCCGGGAACCCTCCGGGAAAGAAATTAGGAGGGTGGCTACTCGGAGGAGGGCTTTCTCTGCGGTGGCACCCAACCTATGGAATTCACTCCCCAAAGAGGTCCGCCTGGCACCGTCGTTACTGGTTTTTCGGCGCCAGGTAAAGACCTTTTTATTTAAACATCATTTTAATTGTTAAAACATATGATCTGGCCAGGGCAACTTCTTCCTTCTCTTTTCTCCTCCTGTATTTTTATTTACTTATTTTATACTGATAATTTTAATTTTATATTTGTAACTCAGTGTATTTTTTGTATTTTTGTATTTAATGGTAATTTATTATGTTCTATTGTATTTCAATGTATTTTATTGTGTTGTAAGCCGCCCCGAGGTTTCGGCAAGGGGCGGCATAGAAATGTTTAATAATAATAATAATAATAATAATAATAATAATAATAATAATAATATTAGGCCACCTGCGTGTCTCCGAAAAGCAACAGCAACACACCAGCGGTGGGGAAGCTTCAGTGGCTCAGCAGCCAAGCCAGCGTTTGGCAGCTGTCTTGGGGAGTTACCCCACTGCTGGAATGTGGCCTCCTCTCTAGTCCCCCTGTTTACTCACATCCATAGGCACATGCTCTCCAACCCAAGTGCTGCACAGGGGTTCTTTAACATCTCATTGCTGTGGCGGGGGGGGAGGACCCCTTATGTCCCACCTGTGGGCCAAACGGGCCATGTGATGCCATGGGCCAGAGTTCTTCACTCCACTGCACACAGCCTCAGAGAGTCCGACCCTGATCTGACTGGCAATGCAGGAGCAGTACATGCTGAGTATTGGATGGAAGGCACCCGCTTGGCTCTGCACTTTCTGTCCAATTGCCTTTATGTGTTCATTTATTTAAAGTTTGTCTATGCCGTCCCATTATTAAAAGTCTCTGGACAGCTTACAGAGGACAGGACTTTGATAGACTGTAGTGAATGTCCCCAGGGGCAAGCATTTAACTAGATTGCAGACATGAGTACTCAATTAGTGAAGTATTAAGCCAGCCTATCTATGAACATACCCCTGCACTCAGATCTCAGCATGTCAGACTTTTCTCTATTTATCCATTGTAGGCACACATTAGCAACTTCATCTTGCCTCCGCTATAAGAACTACCTTTATTGGAGCCTCTCTCATCTTCAGACTTTGATGAGCAGGGCACCCATTTCTCTGCAGATAACTGGGAACAAGCACGGACACCAGCTGTAGCTACATTTACATTGTCCTTGCATTAGCTTCAATCTGAAAAAAATATTCACCAGCCATAGAAGGTCCCTTTTTTCCATTTCCACCAACAAAGAGCCAGAGATCAGGAGCTACATATGAGAGGAAGAACAGTGATCAGGTTGAACATCCCTTTTTCTGTGCAGGAACCAGAACATCCAGACTCACAAGCTGGGCTACCTTTGAGGTCCAGAAAATAAAATTAGTTTCTCCCAACCCCCCACAGTTGCAGTTGATATCTTGGGCTGGGTGTAACAACCAGTGAAGCAGCTTGGACATTCTCCTTGTATCAGAATAAATGCATGCTCAATAAGCCCATTGTCATATGGGAAGGACGTGCTGGTATGCATGGCATGGTCGGCGTGTCATGAGTGGAACTGTCTGGAGCCGGGGGCCAGAGTAGATGGCCCAGGAGGCCCCCTCTGAGTCGCTCCGATTCTATGTTTCTGTTTCTCTCTGACAGCACTGCAGCCAAATTTGCAGCAGAATAAATATATGAGGAGGGTATAGACTGGAGCTGAGTTTGTGAGCACCATTATCCTTTCTTCCTGGCTCCAGGCCTCCCGACCTGATCCTGAAACTAGATGGACCCAGTCCACAACAACTCTTCTGGCAGGGGAACAGAACGTCTGCCTAAGGCCAAGTTCTATTCTGGAGAATCTCTTGATGTCCACAATCCACCAGAGGGTGGGCATGAGGACAAAGCAGCTATGCTCAGAACACCAATAACACCAGCTAATGTAGGTTAAAGCTCTTGCTGCCAGTAACTAAGTCTGAGGGGAGGCATCCGTCTTTTAAAATGTGGCAGAAAGACTCTACAAAAGCTAGGGATCCACCAATTAATTGGTAATGGTGTGGAAGGGGGAACGAGCAGGGCCAGAGGAAAAGGGCCTGGCTTTCTGGGGACCCTGGCTGCAGGGTGGGGTGGATTTGGTCCCCAGGCTTTAGGCTCTTCCCTGCTGTCTCCACGCTGACAGATGAACCTCCAGGCTTCTTAAAGAGTTTGATTACCATGTTCCCAATCCAGAAGTAGACCCCACTCATCACAGAGAGGTTCTTAAATTCTGCTAGTGCTACTTTCAGGTCAATGCCATAGCTGATCTGGATAGCTCCCAAAACAATCTGGACCACCTGGAGGGGAAGAACAAAGAAGGTCGATAATCTTGGATACCACCAACTTCACCAGCCTCATCCGTATCCCCAGTTTAATGTTGCCTGCATCAACAGTGTTCCAATCATTCCCTCACCAGCCGTCACCTTCACATCTCTCCACAGCCGCCTCCTTTATTGTCATTTAAATCAGCACAATTTCTTCTGCGTTCTGCTCTGGCTCACATGCAGCCTCTCAGCTGCCATCACAGCCAGCACAGCTATTTTTGTTAGCATGTTCCACTCTTGCTAAGATTTTCCATCCCCGCATCCTTCTGCAAGAGCCTCCCGCATTCACCAGCATGCAAGCATCGCATGTGCACTGCCTCAACTCCCCTCGTGTGCTGCTGGAGCTCACAGATCACCGGACCTTGCGCACAGGGGAACGGATGTGTGTGCGATTCCTCTCCCACTAAGAGTGCTCTGCACCCCTGGCCCTAACATGTTGGGGAGCCCTGGGTGGCACTCAGTGTTGGTGTGTTTTTAAGTAGCTTTGCTTTGCACAACTGCTTTTCCAGTGCCTGAGCAGGAAACGTCTTTCCCATTCTGGGTTTGTCCTTAGTGAGAATGCTGAATAAACTGGACCCACCAATTCAGTGGACAGTTGTGTTTCTTCCAGCAGATCCCTGAAGAAGGCGGTGCAGCTCACCTGTCGTGCGAAGGCTGCCTGCCAGGTGCATGTGCAATTCCAGGCAGATGGCAAAACCAGGTGCTTGCTCTTGTCTCTTTATCGGGTCCGTGATGGGCATTCACAGGCATCCATGCCTGGTGGGCTGTACTTGGCTCAGGGTGCAATCCTGTGCGTGCTTAGGCAGAAAAAAGCCACACGTGCTGGCTGTGAAATGCTGGGAGTTGTAGGACTGTTTTGCCTCTAAACATGCACAGGACTGTGCCCTTCGTGGAGCTCCAGTTATGGAGCCTTTGCTAGAGGCTAACAGCATTGTAGGAGGACGTGAAGCTCTGATGCTTCCCACACAAGCACGCAGCCACAGACGCACCCAGTTTAAGCCCTCAGAGGGGAGTACCAAGGCAGTGTGCAAAGAAAGTGCAGTAATCAAATAAAGGGAAGCAGCAGATCATCCAGGCTCCATGGACAACACCACAATTTGTCAAGCAGCTGCAACATCTTCCCATAGATGGAGAAGGGGGGGGGGGGCTCTCTCCTGGTGTGTGTGTGTGTGTGCGCGTCGAAAACAACCCTAGCAATCAAAAGGATCTGGAAACAGCTAAGAGAAAGTATGTTCCCGCCATAAAAATGATCTTTGTTGTTACATACTGTATTCTTGTTCTTATATGTACACACATTATGTAAACATTCTGAAAATAGAATTCTTGAAATGGTGCACGTTTTAAAGCAAGATCAGTCTGATGGAGACATCCAGGCCCATTTTTGATCCAGTCATACCATTTTAAATTCAGTTCCTCCCTATCCCTGCCATTCAAGCAAGCACAAAGAAAAATCTCCGGTATGCAAAATCTCCAGGTTTGCAAATCAGTTCTGATTTATTTGAAATCCATCTGGTCAGATACGATAACAGAGGCATTCTCTATGAGGAACAGCTGCTAAAACAGTAACGCAACAGTGGTCCTTATTTTAGGCAGTCTTTGTGAAAGTGTTTGCAAATGCCTTTTGAATCTGAGCTTCTTGTGGGTAATGATAAGGGTCAATGGCTGCTTTTTTCTAGATCTAACAGCAGTGTGTCTGTGTGTGTTTGTGTGTGGATTTGTGTTGGCTGCAGAGAAAAAGGTCCCTCCCTGCACATTCAGGCCCTGTGGAAAATATGCCCACCTTGCATATTTTCTGGGTTTCTGAGAAACAACCTGCTGGGAGCCGAGGTTCCTCCTTCATGCATTCAAAAGCCACATACCTTTTCCTTGCAAAGCATTCTTTATTGACCAAAAGCACAAAACGCCCAGAAGTAACATCTGAGCATGCACAGAGCAGCCTGTTGAATCCAATCTACTATTCAAGAACTTTCCTTCTGTGTATGCCTGTCCCTCATCCCTTTGGGAGATGCCTTCTGAAAATAAGCACATCTCCTCACTGCATGCTGATCCATCCGCCCTCCTCTGCGGATGACACACCATGGGGTCAAGAGCTCTGCCCACCTTGTCTGTGTCTGAGAAACGCCCCTGCTCCAAGTCTCCTCCCACCAACTGTACATCTTGGCTTTTCCCGAAGACTGCCTGCCCACCTGGGGACGTTGGCCTCCAGAGAAGCATCTCCACTTCTCCACATTCCCAGGCCCCTTCCACTCCTCTCCTCCTCCTCCTGGTTCTGGAGCCAGCCAGCAGCCCTCTCTCTCACTCTTGGCCAAGGCAACCAAACTGGCACTCTCATTGATGACACACTGAGGGCGCAGTCCAGTGGAGGTGCCTGCAAGCTTCTCCTGGGTTCCAGGTTTCCTACGCAGCACAGCAGGAACCTAGAGGCAATCCTTGTCTCCAAGCTCCTTCCACCCTGCAAGACAGCTAGACAGCAGTCCACCTGCAGCACCTTGGATAGGGAGGGGAGGAGGCTGGAGCGCCTGCCCCAGAACCTCCCCTTCAACTCCGGAGAAGCACGTGCTACAGTCTTTCCATGCCAGCTGATGGGGATCTGAGCATGGGTTTCCCAGCTCTATGGTTGGAGCTGTTTCTGATCTTGGAGCTGGAAATCCAACAGATCCTGTGACCTTCTGTCCATTGTCTGAAGGCCGCTCTGCCCATAATCTAACATTTTAGAGACCCAGTAAGCGGGAGAGGCTGTGATTTTATCATTCACTTTGACAAAGAGTCTTGAAAAGTATAAAGGATTGGTCAAAAGGTGTTTTTTAAAGACAAGAACAAAACATTATTTTTTGCCAGTTGTTTTCAACAACAATCATTGCTGCTATTTTTTCTATGCAAAGAAAGTTTTGCAAGCCAGATATTGTAGATTTGGGTTTAGGGCAACAGGATTGGAAGGTCTTACCCCAAGAGCCTTTGGCAGTGTGTTTCTGAGGCTTTTGAACTGGGTTGGTGTGAACTGCGGAGTAATGGAGGAGGATCCTAGCACACTCGTGGCAGCTCCATCTGGCTGCAGGACTGGCTGCTGGACGACTTGTGTGACGATCCTAACAGCTCCACCGTCTGCCACGGTGTTGGCCATTTCTGGAGAAGCAGAGGTGAAAAGGCTGCATCGTTAGCAAAGGCAGAAAGCAGAACCCAGGGGAGCTCACTTTAGTCACATGGATGCTTTTGCTTATCCATGCAAAAACATTATGGGTGTGAGGACAGTAAGCATAGCAGGGGATACACCCAAAGAAGTTTGCCCTGGAAGTTTTGTGCTGTACCAGTGAAATAATCGAGATTAATTCAAGTTTGCCTAGGAGGCCTTGAAAACTTTCCAGTGGGGAGGGTAGCATGATGCAGCCTCCAAAGCTATAGGGAACCCTATTAGGGCAACCAGCACCTTCATCCAGCAATGGAAGGACCTGCTTTCATAAAAGCAGAACTCAAATCCTGATCACTTATGCAATGCAGTGCATGTCTACTCAGAAGTCAGGCCCATTACGTTAGGTAAGGCTTACTCCCAAGAAAGTGTAGATGGGATTCCTTGGAAATAAGTCCTGAGCTGTGAGTGCGGTGCTGCAAGACATGCACACACCTGCTCTCCTAGGGTGTCCAGGGGCCCTCTTTTACAGGGGAGAGTCCTCTCTCTGAAGGGCTGCCCAGCCCAAGTGCAGTAAGATGAAGAACTGCCAGAGGGAGAGCTGAGCCTTGAAATTGCCCGACAGCATAAAGACAGCAGACTGGCCAAGCCACATCCCACATCTCCATTTAAAGGATAATAAGTATCTCTAAATTCACATACACTATTGTTATGCATGCTGCAACCCTCCTTTCTTTCTGGAGATGCATTTCCTCTTCGTTGCCAATTCCTAAGCAGTCGCTTTCTATATAGCACTAGATCACGGGTCTCTCCTTTCTGCTGCCCCCAGTCTGCGAGGGAGCTGCCCAGAGCTCTAGTCTTGGGAGAAATCCCGCCGTGGGGAGGCCATGCCTTCCCTGCAGAACAGGGCTGATTATGTCCCCCTGCTGAGCAAGAGGAGGCCGCTTCTGTGCGCCAAGCAGTCAGAGCAGCAGCACGCAAGCTGAGTGAGGGGATGCGGCCGGAGGCCCTGAGCTGCGGCTCCCGGGGGGGGGGGTTGCTCTGGAGAAGAGATGTGCCTCCCATCCACTCCCAGCAAGCAAAGAGGAGTTTCTGTTCCCCAAAGCAGCTGCTTCTTTAGGACATGTTGCTTGAAACCAGCATTCTATTTATTAAAAACTTTTTTTATCCCGTCCCCTACAAACATCTTGGGACAGCTTACAATAAAAGGTGATGCAACTGCTATCGCTTCTCCATTTTTACCCTAAAGGCCCATCTTCCAACTTTGCTGCTCTTTCTGTTGCCACATGCTCTTTGAACCAGCCAGGCGAGTCATATTAGCGAGATAAGTGGTAGGCAGCATAGCACCTTCCAGATGTTTCCGACAACAGTTCCCACAATCTCTGGCTGTGGGCCATGCAGACTGAGGCTTATGGGAGTTGTAGTCCAGAACATTTGGAAACTACCAGGTTGCCCCTGCATTATGCCCTCCTGCCTGCATACTGGAAGCTCCTTTTCCTGTCCAATATGGACCTCAAAAGATGAGAAGGGGTGAAACGGTACCAATCCTAAAGTGTCTGGACTTGAGTGTAAGTAGGCAGGGGGCTGATTTGGACTGAGACATGGACTCACAACATGTGGGCAGTGGGGGAATAAGGCTTCCCATTCTGCTGCTTTCTCCTCTGATTTGCTCATCCCTCCGTTGAAGCTGAAGTAAGGAAACCTCTACTGGTGCCAGTGGAGCTTTCTCTTTCTTTAACTTGTGTGAGCGTGTGCGCACATGTGTGCACTTGTGCAGGGATTTGGGGAGAAGGCAGCTGGGTGGGAAGGCATGACTCCCTGTCTGTGCACAGTGTGCATAATCTGGACGATGGTTCCATGTGTTTGCACAACCATAACACGAATAAGAGTGTAGGATTCTACACTACACGTTCAGTGTGGTTTGCATTTTAGCATTAGAAGTCTTGCTAAACTTGATGTTCTGAGGTTCATAGAGAGGCGTCCTGGGCATCTGGTTCTTCACTGTTGACACAGAACACCAAAATAAATCATTCCAGCCAATGGCTTCACAGTGCACACAACTTGCTCAATTTGTCCTAATGTTACCACATGAACAGAGATATCCTTGGCTTCGGGGGGGACAGCGCTTTATTGCAAAAGACCAGCAGGTTGGGGTGGGGCAGTGGAAAGCCATGCTGTGCTCATGGAGGTGCAATGAAACCCAATGGCCAGGCTAGACACCATCCGCACTATTAGCACCTTCATGAGCAGAAGAGGGAGGCGGCCCAGTTGGGATCATAGCCCTGCAGCAGGTGGAGGGCTGAACCCTTTGCGTCACCTGCTATGGCCTGGGCCTCTCACACTTGCTACTTCCTTTTAAAGCACAATTGTTACCTGCATGAGTGCTGTCTCATTGTGTTTGATTCTCAGAGGCGCCGGCTGAGGTCAGGTCTAGCTAAGGGCCAACTTCTGTGTGGCCATAACTGCACCCCTGAGCGCTGGGTGTGTGTTCCCCGCCACACAAATACTGCAAGAGCCCCCAGTTTGTATCAGGATTCTAGCAAGGAGGGGTAGAGGGCTTCAACCCTCGGCCTCCCACTATGGCCCCAGTCTGGACTGTGGGGCGCTGCACCATTCACGGCATTGGAAAAAAGGTCCCTCAGAAGGAGAAACTGCTCGGCTGCATTTCTGCCGATGAGGACTGGGCATGCCAAAGAGCCAGAGGCCCGAAGAGGACTGCTCCTTTAGGAGGAGGATTCACTGCAAGGATTGCTGCAGTTCTACCATCAAAGGCCAGGAGAGGCATGATCCAGTTTGTGGGGAAATGAACTTGGGGGTTCTACAACCCCAGAAACAAAGCAGGATGACCGCATCGCACGCAGGACTTGTGAGAAGCACAACGCGAGTTTGGGGGAGCTCACATCAGAGTGAGCACAGATTTAGAACTGGGGTGTACATTAGGAGCAAAGGAAGCATGGAAGGCGCAACGCCTCTACCTTCGCAGACCTAGAACCTGCCTTTAACATCCTGTCCGTGGACGCCATATGAAAGGAAGGGCTCGGCGCTTTGCATGCAGGTGGTCCCAGGTAAATCCTCACCTTTTCCAGGGAAAGACTCCCACCAGCAGTCCTGGAGAGCTGAAGCTGCCCGACGGCTATGCACAGACCCTGTGGAGTCGGATGGCCATGCAATGCAGTGTCTGAAGCAGCTCTGCGATTTGACAGAGCTCTGTTAGGAAACCAGAGGAAGCACATGGAGAACCATGTGGCAAAAGACAGAAACAGGTTCTTCAACAGCTTCTCCAAATCCTCCTGTGGAAGGGGTGGCTCTGAAAGTGTGTGTGTGTGTGTGGGGGGGGTCTTTAAGCTGGGAAGGTATGCATGATTAGCATGAAACCACCTGCTTCAGTGGGGGCTCAGTGGACACCCCCCCCCTTTCAACTTGCTTCCTTAAGGCTGCTTCGGATGCGCACTCCTTTACCCAGTCCCCCTTTCCAAAGCCAAACCCAGAAAGCCCTCATGCCCCATGGTGGGAGGAAGTGGGAACAAGGGGAGAGACTGTTGGGAAAATTTGGATAAATCCTGTCTGAAAAGCATTACTTCTGTGTGCTTTTTTGCATTGTGGGATCAAATCCTGTTCTCCTTCTCAAAACCAAGCTGTCACTGTTTAAAATGGCGTTCATTCCCCGCTCCTTTCTCTCACCTTTAGCTGTGGGCTACAGTAGACAGGCCATTTGGTCCAAATGTACATTGTAAATAGTCATTGTTGGAATTCATTTTACAAGGAAGTATCTTTTGATAGCCCAGAGGCTCCATGTGCCCTGGCCAATTCAGAATGGCTAGAGTAGATAAGAGTCTTGAGTTCATGCATAGTTTCAAGTAGCTTGAATTTACATGTCCAAGCGGACCTGGAGATGGGTTCAAGCTACTGAACTAAAGTGTCAATACAGGCAATTAGAAATATTGTAATCTCATTGTTACTGTATGATTGACTGACATTCCTTTATCTGTTCTGTATGTGATGACCTCAGAATCTTATTGCAATCTCTGCATTCTGTCATCAATTGCCCTGTACCTGTGTACCTATAAATGCCCTGTAATGGTATTGAAGCTTTGCAGCAGAGTTCATCTCTGCCTACACGGTAATGCATGATCGTGAGTACGCACCCGCGGGGAACCTGGGAAATACAATAAAGACTCAGATGGTCTGGACGCTTGGTCTTTCCCACGAACCCGAGTTTTATTCCCTCTTCTCAAATAGAGATTCCGGGACTCTGACAAGACTCACCTCTTTCTCTTCCCTGCTGCACGTCTCCCCCTCTCTTTCCCTTTGCAAGCCGTTTCTGTGGCTGGGCGAGGGATGTTGTTGCTGCTCCCAGGCCAGGCCAGACCAGACCAGACCGGACCAGAGGGCTCCTGTGCAAGACCCCGCTGAGCTCAGCTGGCGCTGTCCTTTGCCCTCCTGGAAGACGCGGGCCCGAGTCCAGCAGGGGGCAGGCTGGGGAGCAGACGCGGGATGCAAAGGGAAAGGGACGCGCGGGTGTGTGGCTTTCGCACGGCAGCTGTTGGTGGCCTGGGCCGTTTTTCGTTTAGTTCAGTCTTGTTTGTGTGTGAGTGAGCAGAGGGGCCAGAGGGGCCGGGACTCTTCTTGTGCAGTAAACACATTCTTGTCCCCTTGCCAGAAGAGTAACAAACAGTGCCGTTTTGTTAAGAATGAGATAAGAGGCGTGGGGAAAAGCGAGAGGAAGAGGGGCGGCCATAGAAACGGGAGTGAACAAAAAGCATCCTGCTGGGGCGGCCCAAGGGTCCCTCACGGCCGGCATTCTGCTCAGCGGCGGCCGCCCGCTGCCCATGGAAACCCCCATGCAGGTGATGATCACATCCTCCTCTGCCTCCCCCTGCCCATGCTCCCCAGCAGCTGGTGTTCACACACATGCTGCCTCCAGCAGTGGCCATCGCTGTTGGGACCAGCAGCCGCCAATCGCCTTCCCCTCCATGGACGTGTCCCAGCCTCTCTTAAGGCCACCCACATAGATGGCCACCCGTGTGGCATTTTGCGGAGCGTTCAAAGGGGTCCACATGCCTGTGGCGAGGATTGTACTTGCCCAGCATTGGAGGAGTGAAGAACCACCCACTGATGAACTGATTTTAAAAAAGATTCTGGACTGTGCTGAAATGGACAGGCTGATTTTGTCTCCGAAGGAGAAAGAGGATACATACTTCTCTCAAACTTGGAACTCTTTTTATTATTGGCTAGAGAAACGGGACTATGTGTAGATGGATTGCTATAAAAAATGGGGGGCTGACCCAGTAGCTCTGATGTCTCTGATGATTGATGTTTTTAGTTTCTTTTTTTTTAGTTTTTAGAAAATAATAATAATAAAACTTACTTTAAAAAGTGGGGAGTCCACACGCATGCTTTCAGCTGCTCTTCGTGTCAGGCAGGTCAATGCTCTGATCTTCATGTGGCGGAGGAGGTGGTGGGTGCTGAGGCAGACGATGCCTTGCCCATGGCAGCTGCTGATGGGGAGCTGAACCAGGCACACTCTGCCTCGTCGCTCACTCGTGCTCTCAGGGGGCCTCCAGAAGGAGGTCCCGTGGTGGTTCCCCTCAGAACAGATGTGCCCCTGAGCAGAACCCTCCGCAGAAGCCGCGTTGTGCTCCGTGTCCCCACCAGCCTTGCTTCCAGTGCAGCTTCGGGGAGCAATCCCAGGGGGACGCCCATGAGCCTCTGAAGCTGAAGGACATAATTCATCCAGTGTAGTCATGAGGGGCAGCAGAGCCTGCCTCCTCCTCCTGCTTTGCATTTCCATTGGACAACTGTTTCCAGCCAACTCGGGGCCTGCTTTGCAGGAGGCAGGAAGGAGGATAGAGTGCCACCAGGGAACCTCGTCTCCTCCCCACCTCCGTTGCCTCCTGTCGCTGCCCTCCGCTGTTTCGACCTTGGAGGGCAGCTGGCACAGTCCTCCCCCGTCTGCCTGCTGGCAGGAACTGGGCAGCGCCAGGGCTCCTCCTGCTGGCCAAATGCCAGAGTAACAGACTCTGCTGCAGCTGCCAGGGCCTTTGTGAGCACCACCTGGGAGCCCTGGGCAAAGCGCTGTTTAAGACGTGGCTCTTCCCTCCAGAAGCTGCCCCAGTAATGCTGACTGCCACTGTGTTGAAGTGCTCTGTGGGGTCTGGTGCACGTCTGCTGTTGCACCTGTTGATTCTGTTGCTGGGCCTTAATCATGCTCCTGCTGCCCAAGCCCAGTTTCCCCTCCACTGCAAGGAGGCAGGGGAGGGCAAACTGGGGCTCCAAGTTTGGAGCGCTGTCTCCAGCTTTGGTGCTGGAAGTCAAAGCTATGCTATGCCACCCTTTACCCCAAGTTGGGGGCCATAGGCTCATTCCCTCCATTCACTAATCTATTAATTTTAAGTTTGCATAGGTTTGTTCATCCGTTAAAGCAGTCTTTATTTTCAAATGAGGCACATCCAAGTGAGCAGATTTTATGGCGCAATCCTAAGTATATTTAACATTAGAAATAAAACCTATTTATTTATTTATTTAAAGTGTTTATAGCCAATCAATTAGCAACCAGCTCTCAGAATGGTATACAAGAATTCAAAGAAACTAAAAACAAATATACATACATGATCAACATGCTAATAACATTCTTTGGAGTATAATGTCCACCAGCAATGGCAATAATGATAACAATACATAATGCAAGAATAAAACCAATCACAGAGCACCAGCGACCATATAGATACATCCAACATAAATCCAAAACAGTGTTGAACATTTAAAATGCTGGGAAAATAAAAATGGTTTGACCTGGTGCCTAAATATGCGTGGCGCCCACACCGGGGAAACCTCCCCGGGAAGCTGATTCCATAACGGCACCACCGGCCTCTGGCATGCGAAAAGGGACAGGACAGGACCTTTCCATTCCCCCTTCTAGAGCGATACAGGAAACCTAGTTAGGAGAAGCGGGAGCCTGCCCTCCTCTAACGCAGGCAAGCAAAAACAGCGTGAAAAGGCCCAGCTCCAGTTTGGAACACGAGAAGAACCCTGCCAGTGGATCAGGTGGACGGCCCACAGGAGGCACACGGGCAGGACACACGGGCAGTGCTGCCCTCCCCTGCTGCTCTCTCCCAGTGACCGGCAGGCAGAGGCACACTGCTTGTGAGCTGGAGGTAGCAGGTAGCCCTAAGACTTCTGAGATGATGAATACCGCTTGCTTTCCTCCTCCCTCCCCATTCCCTTTTCCTTTTGTATTGCATTTGTTTGCAAGCCTGGGAGTGGGGCCTGTCTTCTTTTTTCCCCTCTCTGTACAGTGCTTAGAAAATGTTAGGTACCGTGATGGTAGTGATGCTGAACATGATCAAAGCTGTCCAGCATAGTCAGTGGCTGGGGATGATGGGAGGTACCATTCAACATGTTGGTGCACACCAGGTTGGGGAGGGCTGTATTAATGTTGGAAGCGGCCATATACTGAATCAGGCCATTGGTCCATCCAGCTCAGTGATGCCTACTGTATGGGAACAGCCCTCCAAGATGTCAGCAGTGATATTTGCTGGTCCTGCTTCCTGGGAGCCTGTTGGCTGGAGAGATTGGAAATCTGAAATCTTCTGCATGTCAAGGAGGCACTCCACCACTCCACCACCATGAATCCTTCCTCTGCTTGTCCAGTTGCACTGAAATGTTGAGGGTCCTTCTAGGATTGACTCCTGGCTAGCATTTTTCTGGCCTGCCCAGAATTCCACGCCCGTGCTGGTGACAAGTTCAGGGGTTGAAAAGGGCAAAGAATATGTACCAGTCTGGACATCACCTTCTGCCCTGCCTTATGACACAGAAGGGCTGTGAGCAAAGGAATCGTCCCTCCATCCACCCACTGCTAGCAATAGGGCGGTGCTCACTTGTAGG